GCCTCACACTTCAGGCCAGCCAGGGTCATCCGTTTTCCAACAGATATAAAAATAATCCCAGCTGTTTAAGACATCTGGTGAGCAAGCTAGCAGAACTGTTTAAACTACTCACTGTGTTGCAAATGAACAATTAGAAGAGATCACCAAGCTCTAAGGCTGCACAGCTATCGAGGATATCATCTAAAAACACTGCTTTCCTTCAGCTGGTTTGGAAACCACTGTGCAACTATTTCCCTTCCAGAGTCCTCAAATAGCTCATACAAAAAAGTCTATGCAAAAGGAGAGAAAATGATCTTATGACTGTCCACAAAAGCAGAGTATTTTAGAAGTCAACATATATGTGTTTTATTTTTCACATAAACAGTTTTGTATTTATTCTTAACAAACTTAACAAAAGCACGCTAAAAAGTATTGTCCCAAAGCAAAATTGCTGCTTGGTTATGATCCTTAGATTATAGAGAAGATGGATTCTGCTTGTTGCATTTCTGTTCTGACCACAGTTACTGTTCCAAGAAGGAATGATTTTTATCCTACTTTGCATTTTCACCATTGTGTTTGTGTCCTATGATTACATTAATTTGGTATCAATTCTATAGTTTTTCTCAGAAGACTAAATCATCAGAATTTAGATATGCTGTTATACATTGTTACTTCGATTATTTGAAAGATTAGGTGGGTAGTTTAATTTTTCCATAAAGGTTATTGATACGATAAGTGGTTAATAGTCAAATAGTTACCTATTAAAATAACTAAATGTTGAAATAACTTATCACAAAATAGACATTTCTCCTTCACATTTTCCAATAGAATGCAGAAGGCATTACTTACCATTAAGCATGCATATTCTCAAGAGTGTAATAAAAAGAAAGGAGGTGTCTCCATAGGAGTCAAGCCCATCAGTGTAATTCTAAAAGTCAGAAATGGGTGCACAATTATGTACACTTCAAGATTTTACTTGCTATGAAAGATTTATTTTGGAAGCACCGGATTTTTTAAAGACAGGACAAGGGGCTCTAGGGGAGAAGCACAACTCATCAAGGAGAGATGCTTCCAGATGTCACACTTGTAGAAGGCACCCTTCCTGGTATACACTAAAATCCCATTTTTAAAGGCTGACTGCAGGAATTATTGAAATTCATTTCTTCATGCTGATGCATTCGGGCCTTCCTGTGATGCCAGTGTTTTAAATGCAGCCCACAGAGACCAAACCGCATGGAACCCAAGCTGTGGTAAAATGCTACTGATGGCAGCATTTTTCTTTTCTGATTTATACCCCTGTCTCACATTTAAATTATTTAAAGTTTTATTAGAACAGGTCAAGCTGCAAAGGGCAAAAACATTTGAAAATAATATGAAGCCAACGCAGCCTATGCTCCAGAGGGCATGGATTCTAGTCTTTGTTCACATATTTTATCAATTTTTTTTTTTAATTTTTACAACCTTTTGACCTGTGTTTAATTTTTGTCTTCCAATTCTAGAGGTGAGAGAAAGCCAAAAATAGATCTTTTCAGGACCTGTGTTGCCGCTATTCCCCGACTGCTTCCTGATGGGATGTCCAAACTTGAACTCATTGACTTGCTGGCTAGGTAAGGGAGAGCCATAGTGAACACTATCCGAACAAAATTGATTTTAATCCTCTGTCATGATACCTGAAAAGATAAAATAAAAAGTGTAACTACAATTGACAAATATTTACTGAATGAGATATTATTGTAGGTGTTATGGTATGGGCAGGAAGGAATAAGGAAATTTTTTTTTTATTTTACCTATGTTCAAGGGCTTTAAAATCCAATGTAGAAGTGAATATATAAACACACAAGGTAAGTAACAGCCCAAAGTCTGCCACTGTGCAAATGAACAGCACAAAAAGTGCAATACGTGAGTTCAGTGGGGAGAGGGATTACTATGGACTAAGGAAGACAGCAAGTAAGTCCTAGAAAGTGGAACTTGAATTCAGAAAGGTAAAGGGAATGGCGTGAGCAAAAGCACAGAGGTGGATCCAGATGGGTCTGGCTGGAGAAGAGGCTCAGTCAGGATCAATTCCCAGTCTGAGGCCTGCAGGACTTCAGGGGACCAAGAAGGAATGTAACAGGACCCTAAACGAGTTTTAGTCCAGTACTGCAGACAGCAGCCCGAATTCTTATGTTTATCATCCCCTCCATCCTCCGTAAGAAAGCACAGTCCAACTGGAACCTTAAATGTATTTGTTTTGTATGAAATTATCTAATTATCCTTTAGTAAGCTTAGTTATCTCATGTTGATCTGAAGCTCGAGATGACAGTGATACATGCCTTAATTTAAAAATCAGAAGTGACTTATTACCCAGATGCAATTTGGAAGACAAAATCATTAGATACATGGGGTGCATGGATTGAAGAAGAACAAAAGTTATCATTGGTTTGGAAAAAAGAAAAAGAAAAAGAAGTTTAGAAACCCAAAGATGAAAGAAAATAGAAAGAAATACAACTGGAAAGGTAGATTTTCAGCTCATCTTAACTACTTGCTGAGGCATTCGGACTGATAAAGTTTCAAGCAGGAGAATAATGTGATAAAAAATGTCCATGTGGGCTGTTTAATCTGACCATGGTGGAGCAAAGGAAAGCTGGGAGAAGGATAGCAGACATTCACGCTGACCAAATGAAAGATGCATTATGCACAACCTAGTTTACCATATTCTCTCGCCTTTTGGGAGCACGCTTTCCATCACCTGCCAAATACATCACCTAAGCTCACCTGGTGGCCTCCTGGTTACTGTGGCCATGGGCCTCTCTTCCATGGACAGCTAGTTTGGGCCCCTCTGTTGGCCACCTCTCGCTATCAAGGAATAGCACCTACTGCCCTCCCCGTTCCTCTGCACTCCACGTGTGGACACAGCCACCCCCATTCTTCTTCCTGGCACCACTAGCACAAGGACGATGCTGGATGTGACGGTTTCCTGATGGTCCATTACCTACAAAACCACGATTTCAAGCACCGGTGCTCGTTGACCAAAGCCTTCCACCCTTCCAGCTGCCGATGTCACCCACCTCCATAACCTGTTTCTGCTGTCAGCAGCAGTCTTCGGGGCGTGGGTCCTTCTCTCCTCCAGTCCTTGCTCAGGACATCTTTTTGAGGCCCAGCAACCAGAATGTGAGTGACGAGCACATCCACTGGAAGCAGGGGAGCAGAGGGAAAAAGGAAAACATAAGCCTGGATCAGAATCAGTTTTCTAGTTCTGGATGAGGAGAAGACTCAAGGAGGGACGAAGGGTGGATTTCGAGAGAATAATAAGTATGATGATTTGAAAGGGGGGGAGGCTGAGGAAAAAGAGACTAAGACTGTAAGGGTCCCCCATACTAATGCTGCGTCTCCTAGGACAAGAGCAGAGGCTGAATAAAGAGACACTGTGAGACAAGCGCCAGAGCTACCTGGAAACACAAAGGAGTGGCTGCCAGATTGCCGCAGACAGCAGGGAAGAGGGCAGCATGGCAAGCAGATGGACAGCGTTTCCCCAGAGGACGGGTGGCCGAGTGGAAAGGCCTCTCTCCGCCACACCGTGAACCTGCAGAGGAGAAGGGCCCAGCATCCAAGAGACAGGAGGAAGCAGGACAAGAGAATGAGAAGAAACTGACTCATCTAGAAAGCCTGAGCTTTGTATCCTGCTCTGCCATTTTACTACCTGTGTGATCTAGACAATAATTTAGCCTGTCTTTTTCCCTTGGTGGAATTTTGGTAAAGTTGGAATGAGACTGCCTACCTCCTAGGACTGTTGAGAGGGCTAAGGAAGGCGTTTGCACTGTGTGGTTCATCAGAGGGAAGAGGCATCTGCAGGGAAAAGACAGCTATCGGTTAAATTAAAGTGGAAGGAAAGTTCACTTTATTCAATAAAGATCTAATTGGTGATTATGTCCACTGAGGCCTCGAAAATACTAAGTTTTTGAATGGCGTGCAGTGTTCTGGTAAAGTCTCTAGTGCCATTTAGCTGTGAGTCCATGCGGGAGACGCCTACCTCTGGAATCACCCTGAAAGCCCAGTCCAGGGCCGCCTGCGTGTGCAGAATGTGGCACCGGGCGCATCGGGAGGGAAGCCCGTCACACGTGGTTGGAATGCCAGTGCTGTTCATAGTGGTGCATCCTGTTTGTTATTATGTGCATGTTTACGGAGCCCAAAGCAAGGGATGCTATTTTTTTAATGAGGTAACAGAACAACTAAATATTCCTGAAAGTTTAAGTCTCAGGGAGAAATCAAGAAAATGACTGAACTGATATGGGAAACCCATGAAGAGACCTTTTTCATCAGCTTCAAAGAGACAAGAGGCCATTCCCCAGAGGGAAGGTAGAGCTCGCCACCTGCACACTGAGTCCTACTAACCTGGGAGAAAGTGAACACTTCAATCTCCTCGAGAGGGTCCGAGGACAAAAGTGAAGAAATTCGATAGCGATTGAGGACTTCTCGTGTGGGGAAGTCACTTTATACCCCCGTAGTGCAGTCGTGTTTGGATTAAGTTGACTTGAGACTACACACGGCCTAGCCAGAGAGGGGCGAGACCTTTTATTCCAGACACTTCACAGCCACATCCATGGCACATTTTTACTTGAAAATGTGGTTTTCTTCATAGTTGGTAAAATAAGAACAGTGTTCACGCAGACTCCCTGTCCCCCGTCCCTCTCAGCTCAGTTCCCCATAAGGAGGGTTAAGGATGTGCCCCGCATAACTGCCCCCAGACCCTTTCCTAGCATTTTCAGTAATGACTAAATACCACCGACAGCCGGTCCTCAGACTGTCATTATTAGTGTGCTGAACGTGACAATGGTGTATGGAAAGAAGCTGACAGAACCCCTTCTCCAAGCTACTAAACTTCTGATTTGATTGTATATGTATTGCTCAGCCAGCTCATAACGGCCCAGTGTGAGGGATCTTTCCATGTGGGCCCCATGGAAGCTGCACAGGCTTTCCTGACATCCTGGTAAGACCCCTGGGGGTACTTCCTTCCCACCCTCTGCAGAGTCTGCCCTGCTAGGCTGTCTGGGTCCCTGAGGGTTCTGCACACAGAAGGAGGAGCTCACTTCTTTCTGCGGCAATTGCTATCTTTTCTCTCTCACTCCCCTCCCAGATATTTCCTGCTCTATCCTTTGCCCACAGGAAGGACCTTTCCCCCAGCAGTCCACAGGCTCCTGTCCTTCGTCACTTTCCGCAGTACCATTTGTGCACTAAAGGTTTGCCATTCAAGATTTACCCTCCCCTTTCAAAAATTTGACTTTATTAATATGATACCTACCTCGTAGGGTTGTAAGAAATAAACAGTGCATATAAATAACTTAGCATGGTGCCTAATGCACCGTAAGCTCTCAGCCAGTGTTAGTTATTTTTTGTAGGTATCTTCACATTTGAAGAACATATACCATGCTATATAATGCATTTCATATACAGTATGTTAGGTAAGCTGGGCACATATTCATTGCTATTTTTAGACAATGAGATTGAACTTCAGAAGCATAAAGCTGGTTGCCCAAATTTATAGACTTTTTCTGAAGCCACGTGTCATTGGTTTTATGAAAAATAAGAAACGTATTTTATGCAATATTTTATAATTTGTGGAAATTTATTAGGTAATGGCTACACGATTCCACCATCTTTTGTGGTTTCTGAAAAATATTAAACATTTATTCTGCTTTCACTTTCCAGCATATGTCTGTATTGTGGAAAGCGGTTAGCTATTTTGAGTAGCTGAAAGAGAATTCATCTCTATTGTATATATTGCCTCAATAATTCAGTTAATCATATTTCTTTCTTTTAATTGAGATTCAGTTCAAAGCACCGTAAATAGATGGGAGTCCATTCTTTAATACTCTCCAAAAAGATATTTCTAGCATATCTGGTGAACTACTCTGATAGTTAACAGTCTACCCATCAACAAGCTCCTACTTTTGGAAATCCTTGGCGGCGGGGCTCCACTTTGGAACTGTTTATTCCTCCGCTGCCCTTATGGGGGAGCAAGTTCCTTACCTCTTCCAAATAACCTCTTGTTTATCTTGCCATAGTTTAGAGGAGAATGTTTCTCCTAATTGATGTTTCCTTGTGGACATGATTTGTGACTTTGAAATCACCCCCTTTTCACTCATGTGTCTCCGTGCAACAAAATTATTAACAGCTACCAAGCCAATTCCATCAGAATCTGAAGCTCACTTTTACGAAAGTGTTTTCCATTAAGAGTCATTTGTCTGACCAAGAAGGTGGCTTTATCCAAGTTCTATTTTTTTTTTCCCATTTTACGTGTCCTTCATTATTCAGCAACACCCTTGTCTGAGCTTCACGTGCCCTTGCAGTCATGGCACCGCTTGCTCTCGATCACTGCAGACAGAGCCCCAAGACTGTTGGCAGCAAGCACCCGTGGCCTGAGCAGGGTGCAGCCACGTGTTTGCTCACTGACCTGAGCAATGAGAGTCATGCCAGGCCCAGGCAGTGCTCCCGATCCCAGCTACCTGAGAAGGACAGCTGCCTTAGATGTTGGCAATATATGTTTCTTTCAGTATGTTTTACTCTTACATCCCTGTGGAGGCCTTTTAAGCCCTGGTGGTTTTCCTTGTGTGTAACCATGTACCTGAGACTCCATTTCAGGCTACTGAGAACTGGATCACCTTCTCAGAAATTTTGCCTTAGTTCCCCAAGCTAGTCAAACTCCTTCACAAGTTGCTTTCTCCTAAAATCTCTCTGTTCTCTTTCAATTGTTGCCGCCAAACTCTCCCAAAGGACAGTTTTTATTAGTAGTAGTACTATAATTGCAGCTGTTTGTTTTGCAGGGAAGACCTGTTCTTTCTTTTCCAGTCCAGTCTGGTTTACTAGGACTGCTGTAACATAGTGCCACAAAATGGGTGGCTTAAACATCAGAAATCCTCTCACAAGTATGGAGGCTGGAAGCCCAAGATCAAGATGTCATCAGGCACGCTTCCTTCTGAGGACTATGAGAGAGAGTCTATTCCATGCCTCTCACCTAGCCTCTGGTGGTTTGCTGGCAATCTTTGGCAGTATTTGGCTTATAGAATCATCACCCTGATCTCTGCCTTCATCTTCACATGGTGTTATCCCTATATACTTGTCTATCTACAAAAGTCCCCTTCTTATAAGGACACCAGTCGTACTGGATTAAGGGCCCACTTCACTTCTGTATGACGTCATCCTAACCTAGCTAATTGCAGCTTCAGTGACCCCATTTCCAAATAAGATCATATTCTGGCCTGGCATGGTGGCTCACACCTGTAATCCTAGCACTCTGGGAGGCTGAGGCGGGAGGATCGCTTGAGGTCAGGAGTTTGAGACCAAATAAGGACATATTCTAAGGAACTGGGGATTAGGACATCAACATATGAATTTTGTAGGTGACATGATGCAGCCCATAACAGTGACCAATATTGTTACCATCAGTTAACAGTATTTAATGCCTGCAATTCCTGTTTATTATGCTATTACCTGTCCTAAAAGCAGTGATTTGTTTTCTACGGAAGCTTATTTTCTAAGGACCATGACCAGACATAAATGTAGTAAATAGGGATAATAAGCATAAGATGGGAAACTGGCTTCAAGGGCTTGTCATAAACTAGTGTTTTCAAACCTGGGGCTGCCAAAATGACTCAAAGCTGCTTGGGGAGTGAAGAGGAGTTTCCTTCCGAAATGGGCAGGCTTCAGGCCTTTAAGCAGAGACGCTCAGATTTTATGTGTTATGTATTGGAGATTGTAGTAGTCAAGGTTTTCCAGAGAGAAACAGAAACAATAGGATGTTTATAGAGAGAAAGAGATCTATTATAAGGAATTAGCTCACGTGATTATGGAGGCTGGCAAGTCCAGAATCTGCATGGTGGGCCAGGAGGCTGGGGACCCAGGAGAGCCAATGCTGCCATTCCAGCCCAAACACCAAAAGGCTGGAGATTCATAAGGGCCAAGTTTGCCGTTTGAATCCAAACAGTGTGCTGTAGAACCAGGAAGAACCGGTGTTGCAGATGAAGTGTAAAGGCTGGAGAACTCTCTCCATCTTTTGTTTTAGTCAGGCCTTCAACTGATTCAATGAGACCCATCCACAATATAGAGAGTGATCGGATTTACTCAAAGTCCACCAATTTAAATGCTAATCCCATCTAAAAACACCCTCTCAGAAACACCCAGGATAAGGTCTGACCATTTATCTGGGTACCATGGCCAACAAGTTGACATATAAAATTATCCATCAAAGACCTCTACATAAAATGTTGTTCGAAAAAACGGAACTGCTACTGATGGAAATAAAAAGAAAGTTTGAAAACTACTGCCTTAGACAATCCTTGATGGGAAGCTCAGGTTAAAGGCCTCTCAGTTAAAGGCCTCTTTCAGCAACTATCATCTACTTACAAACTATAGTTTTAATTGCATAAGATGTTCCTGAAGAATCAGCTTAGATCTTCCTTCTTGGCATCTCTGCATACTTTACATGCTTTTGAGACAGGAGATATATTCCCCGGCTCAGTGTAAATCTGTAAACGAAAGGCTCTTTGTCTGGTTTATATTGTCAAATTTGGACCGATTGGTTTACTTCATGCTTTAGAGAATAAGAAAGGAATTTTATTATCAATCTTTTGAAATACTACCTGTTCAATAGTGTATAACTGGGGCAACTCATACCACACTTGTTTTGTGAAGAATATTTTGGATTAATGATTAGAAGTTGTGGATTGAAATCCTGGCTCTTCCCTTATTAGCCAAATGACTTTGAGCAAATTCCTTTACCATTCTGGGCCATAATTTCTTCTTCTACTTGTTGGGAATAATATCTAATATCTCCCCTGTTTGTAGGAGTCCCCCATTGACTCAGCCACATTCTTCTCTAACACCGAACATCTCCAGACTACTGAGCCCTACAAACTCTATCTTCTAAATATCTTTGGTCTCCATCTGTCCTTGACTTACTGTATTTCTTTGCCTTGGATCAGGCCCTAAGACTTGTTGCTTATGTCATTGTAATGACTTTAGCTGTTCTCTACCCTCTTTCTTCTCCAAGGCACCCTTCCTATTCCTGCCTGACTCTCTTTGCTGAAATGTGAATCTAATCATGTTTCTTCCCTTATAACTTTCAGAATAAAGTTCATTTTCTTCTAATAATAATAGCTAACTTTTACTGAGTGCTTACTGCATGCTCAGTGTGGTGCTAAACACTGTGCATGGACCATCTCAATGAACCTCCCAACACGTTTATGGGATGCAGTTACAGTTCGTATCCCCATTTAACCAATGAGGGATCTGAGGTTTAGAGAGATTAAGTAACTAGCCCACAGTCATGTAGCTAATAAGTAACAGGGGCAAGACACTAATCCAAGCATTCTGATTCCAGAGCACACACTCTGAACCCCTTCCCTACTGCATTGCCTCCCTGGACGGCCCGCAGATCCTTCAACGAGTGGCCCTCTTCCCTGTCCAACACTGTCCCATACCTTGCAATAGACACAGCCACTCTGAACTCCATATCCTCATGCTGTACACAGTGGGTACAGTGCCTGACTCTTAGGAGGGTCTCAAAAGTATTTGTTTATTAAATAAATTAATGAAAGAATTTACAAAGCATTTTGTTAATTATAAGTCTCCATACCAATGTTAAAATTTAATATTATCGTAAATATGCTGAAATTCTTCAGTTGACTAACTCAGAATTTCTTGACCTTGGCATTATCAACATCTTGGGCCAGATAGTTTTTTGTCGTAGGGAGTTGCCCTGTGCTTTGTAGGATGTTTAGCAGTGTCCCTGGCCTCTACCCACTAAAGAGATGCCAGTACCACACCCCAGGCTGTGCAGCCAAAAATGTCTCCAGACATTGCCAAATATTCCCTGAGGAACAAAACCAATTTAGGACCACTGGCCTAACTCTCATTGCTCATTTTTCCTGAACTTCTGGATGAGTTCTTTAGCTTCTCTAGTATTCAGATTTCTCATGCTTAAAAATAGGGTTTGATACTAATTTATTCTGTAGTCAGCAATGTATTAAAATTTATTCATATACAGTACAGCTAAATGCAGTGTGGTATCTTGGATTGCATTCTGAATCAGGAAAAGGACATTAGTGGAAAACTGGTGAAATCCAACTAAAGTCTGTCGTTTAGATAATAGCTTTGTACCAATGTTAAGTTCCTAGTTTTGAAAGTGTACCATGGTTATATAAGATGTTAATGGTTATATAAGAGGCTGGGTGAAAGCTATATGGAAACTCCTTGTATTATCTTTGCAACTCTTCAGTAAATCTAAAATTAAAAGTTTTTTAAAAATATTCATTTAAGTCATGCACCAAGCAAAAAGTAAGTGAGACCCATTTTTCAGACACAAGTAGAAGCAGAGACCTATATATGTTCCTTCTTAGCTCTGGAAGAATTGTTCCTGAAGTAAATTATTTTATTGTCTTTTATTCATTTCACAGACTCTCCATTCATATGGATGATGAACTGCGACATATTGCACAAAATTCCCTTCAGGGTTTGCTTGTTGACTTCTCAGACTGGAGAGAAGATGTGCTGTTTGGCTTTACCAACTTCTTGCTGCGGGAAGTAAATGACATGCATCACACACTCCTCGATTCGTCCCTGAAGTTGCTGCTGCAGCTGCTCACTCAGTGGAAACTGGTCATACAAACACAAGGAAAAGTCTACGAGCAAGCCAACAAAATCAGAAATTCAGAGGTGATGTTCACACTCTCCCCACCAATTGGTATTTTTTTATGTTCTTCACATGTGAATGAGTGGCAGCCCAGAGAACCTCTGGAGTTTGCACTTCCAGCCACTGAAGAACTTGCTCCTTGGTGGTGACCCTTAGTTCTTCCACAAGCATAAATTGTCAACAAGAAACTCAGGGCATGATACACCATATCAGGTTAGATTTGTTAACATCAATAAGGTTTACAGAGTAGAAATTTTTTTTTTCAGAGAATTATCACAAATCTTTTTGTAAAAGCAAACGATTATAGGCCAGGGAGTTAGAGCTAGGTGTGGATATGGTTATATAAAAGTTAACTGTCCATTAGTTATTTAAGGCAACAACATATTGGTTGCTTTGTCTAATACCCACAGAGAAGACGGTGCAGTCTGTGGTTTCCTTGTCCTGTCAGGCCTCAGTCCTGAATGGTAAAAATTGTTAACATTTTGGAGAACATGTTGAGGCAGAGTGTTTTCTAGGAGAAGCTGGGCAGTGGTGACTTGACATTGGCAATGAGAGGATGGAGAAGGGGGTCTGGCTGGAAAGGAGCACAACTGGGAATCTGGGGACCTTGGAGGTACAGGGCAATAGCGTCTGTGGGAAGAGCTGGGATCCCAGAGGGGCTGACCTCAGAGATGATGTTCAGCCCCCTGCTCCTTCCTTGCGTTCCACCCATGCCCACAGATGATAAGTAGAAAAACAAGGATTATATATGCTTGTAAAAGGAAAAAGGAAACGAAGGTAGAATCTGCCCTGTTGTCTGGCTTGCTTTTGCTTTAGGTTCATTTGGTTGTGGTTAAGGGACTTTCAGAACCCATCGCAGAAATGTGCAAAACCTAAATTAGAATCTAACAGGCAAACAAGTAAGCGAGACTGGATAGAAAGTAAATGTTTGAACATTTGATTTAATAGTATCCAAAAATCTATAGAGAATTTAAGTGAAAACAAATTAGGCTACTATGATTGTATATATGGTATAATCCCATATGGTATAATGAAAGCAGTTTTGTTTTTATTAATATTAATAGCCTTCGAAAAGTTATTTTTCATCAGCAGTAACAGATGGTTGATGGTATTCCAAAGCAACAATTGATCTGAAAACCAAAAAGGGATCTAGGTTTCATGAATAATAATGAATTCATAGACATGTCTGGTTCTAAGCCATTGCCATTTATTTTAATATTACAATGTCAAATGTTCCACAAGACGCACATATAAAGAGTATTTCTTCTTCTTTCATTGTTATTTTGCTGAACATAGAATGTCATTCTTACTGCCTAACAGCTAATTCCCAATGGCTCAAGCCACAGAATTCAGTCGGAACGAGGTCCCCACTGCAGTGTCCTCCATGCTGTAGAAGGGTTTGCTCTGGTTTTACTCTGCAGTTTCCAAGTGGCCACACGTAAACTATCCGTCTTAATACTCAAGGAAATTCGAGCTTTGTTTCTTGCCCTGGGTCAGCCTGAGGTATGGATTATTCTTCTGAATTTTCCAATTCATTTCTTCCAACTGTTTTGAAATGTAGATTAAAAACTACAAATAATGCACTCCTGTTTTATGTACTTGTGTGTCACACATGATGTCAACACATAATTTTGATTCAGTTTGGGGATTTTAATTATGTAATAGCATTCTTGATCTGCTAGAGATAAGTCATATTTTCTGAGAGTATTAGAAAAGACCACTCCTGGTATCTAGGGGTTGCTGCTTTGATAAGAAGTGAAGAATTTTGAGATTAATTTAGATTATGGATCATTTCCTTCATAGTGTTCAGCACACTAATTATATCTAATTAAGAAGATATCATTACATTTATGTTAGAGAATGAACTTGAAAAAAATAATGCATCCCATTTAAAATGATCAAGGTACCAAACAGTCTGGATAACTGAAAGTTATTTAATCCTGGTTATGGTGGAAAAATGGCATCAAAAGAAACATGTCCTCCTGAGATGGGAGAAGGAAGCCAATTATTAAGCGTGATCAACACCAGCTAACCTCCCACGCTTGGTTAAGCACCGTACACCCTGGTTCAGATGTTACTGCTCATGGTCTGCTGGCACAGGTGGCCAAACCCTATGCATGAGCTGGAGAGAGAAAAAACAGCTTTTAATTTAGTCACATACTTCTTTAGAAAATTGCCACTTTCCATGTTTTTCTTTTAAATCATTAGTCTTGGATTTATGATACTCAATACAGTCACTGTTTTTACAAAATATTTTCAAGCTCATCACAGTCCTTTCTGTTCACATTCTATAGACAGCTTTCTGATATATTTCAGGGCCACATCTCTGGCATATGGTAAATGGATCTTTAAGACATGCTATGCTTTAGCAAGACTCATTAAGTTTCTAATTATGAGACTAATTATAATAATAGTTGCCGTGTATGTGTCAGGCACTGTGCTGAATGTTTTACCCATATTATGTCATTTAACCCTTATAACAACCTAAAAATTGATTTTGTTATTATCCCAACTTACAGATACTGAGACTGAGGTTTAGAGAAGTTAAATGCCTTACTCTAAATCAACAGCTAGGATGTGACAGAGCCAGAAGTCAGAGCCATATGTTATACATATATGTGCCTCTCATGCCTCATGTTCTTAACTTCCGTCAACCAGATTGTGCCAGGGATGTTCTCATATGTTGCTTTCTTTGACCAGCTGCAACTTTCTTTAAACCATTCTCATTCACACATGAATACAGGCATTCCAAGGCTTTCCTCTAAGGCTTCTAAGCAAATAATTTTTATGTTTCCAAGTTTCTCTATAATAAGAGATGACAAACATATACATATTCACTTATATATTAATATTATTCATGTAGAAGAATTTTCAATAAGAAGAAACCCTCTCTTATGCCCTTTCCAATTTGCTTCTTTTATGAAATGGCTGTGAACCCCGTAAATACCACAAAGAGTATGTGGTCAGTCTTTAGTTTCTTTGGAACTAAAATTCAATCATAGTCATCAATTTATCAGTTAATTTAACAGACCAGTGACTTCAAATAAGTAGTATTTTAATGGCCTGGCAAAGCATGTTCTTGTGGGGTTTTCATTCCTTGAAATTAACAACAATATGAACCCTTTGGTGAATAATGTATGTCACTGGTATTTAGATTCTCATGTACATGTATGAGTCTTTGAAATTCAAGGATATGTCTTTTCAGTACAATGTGAAATTGGAGCTCTAATTATCTTCCACTAAACTTGGAAGACAGAGCTCAGAACCACAGGGAATTTTACTCACTGCCTTTCGCCATCTGGGCACTCACTTTTCTGTGAGAAAACCCATATCGCTATCTCACATGCTGTTCTGCTTCATGTACCAGACAGAGGTGGCGGGGTGGGTGGGAAGGATTCACTTTCCCATGGAGAGTAATCACCTCCCCTTTGTACAGGACGACGACAGGCCCATGATTGATGTCATGGATCAGCTAAGTTCTTCCATTCTCGAAAGTTTTATTCACGTAGCAGTTTCGGATTCAGTAAGTATACATTTGATTCTGATTGCTAGTGGCTCTTGATATAAGCTCTGGACCTATCTGAAAGAGAGAGTCAAAGAAAAATTGTATGGAGGAATTTGGGCATTTATGTCAGCTTAATAAAGTGACCCAAAGGTACTTATAAAAAAAAAAAAGACTAGTTTTTCAAATGCTAGCTTAGGAGACAGATAAATTTCAAACAAAATTGGAGTCTTAGGAATATATATATTTTACAAACTGCAATTTCAAGAATTGTTCAAGATTCTTAAAGAAAATTAATTCACCTTATTCATTCCCCTTAAGACTTAATATTGTACTTTTACTTAACTTCTATTTGTGTGGCTGCTTTATAGTGTGCAAGATGCTTTCACATTTGTTATCTTATTTGACCCTTACAGTTATCGAAACTCAAAAATATTAAGGGGCAAGTCCACAAAAGGAAAGTGTTATAGCCGGGATTGACCTGTTTGGACTCTGAATCTAGGAGAGTTTTATCTGCTGCCCAAATACATTCTCCCTTTTAAAAAGCATATTGGCAGCTTTCAATTTCCTGAACAAGCAGAAGGGAAATTGAAACTGCTTTTAGTTATCTGACTTTCTAAAAATAAAAATATAGTAATAGATTCCAGTGAAATAACTAAAGAGAGGCAGGGCAGATCTAGGACTCCTGGCAGAATCCACATTGCTGATGCCTGATACAGATACTTATCAGATAATTATAAATGAATACGACACCTAAAGACATTTGCGAGCTTTCCCTGGCCTTCTCTAACTGAGATTGAACACAGATCCCTATTGTTAGTAGCCCTGTTCTTACTTATAGTCAGAATAATAATAATTATTATTACCAAAAAATTAGCCAGGCACTGTAGAACTTAACAGTGAGAGTGAAGTAGACCTACTTCTTTTAGAATTTCAAATTGATTTTTTTTAATCGAGGGAGACAGACTAGATCAAATAGTTAACTTTAATTATTTTATATACATATCTTACTTGCCTACAGATAACACTATTATATTTTGTTCACGTGCTTTCCTTCTGTCTTCACCAGAATCACAATCTTGAGCCGGGGGTAACTAGGTCAGCAATACTGAACTTAGAATGAAGCACAGAAAGCAGGGAAGAGGAGTGGGAGAAGCAGTGCCTGCCTTGGGCCGGGTGTTTTTGCAGCTGTTATCTCACGTAATTCACTGTAAGATTAGTTGAGATCAGCATTATAATTCCCAAGTCATAAATTAAGTAGACAGAGACTCTGGGATGTTCAATACTTTTCCCAGGTCACAGGCTTTGGGCAGCACCTGTTTTGGAATCTCATCTCTCAGGCTCTGCAGCTCCAGCTCTGCCCCTTACAGCCCATTAACCACTGAGGCCACTGTTGTAGCACTCTTACCCACAGGATCTCATAGACCTGACAGCTTAAAATGCATCGCTTTAAACACCTAACAAGCATAAAGGCAATTTCCTCTCTCATCACAACAGTTAGATTATTTGAAAATTGGTGTCTCCTAAACTTTGATTTATCTGGAATTAAAAGAAAATAAAATGATATATAACAACTTATCAATATGTATATTTATCTTGCAAGAGGTTTTGAAATATATTATTTTGGCTTGCTATCCTAGGGCAAGAATAAATATGTACCTTATCTCCAAAATCATCAGTAGATTGCCCTTCATAAAAGGGATTGTGCTTAACCATCTTTCTAAATCAAAGGGAAGGTATTTCAGATTAAATAAGGATAATAAAGAAAATCATAGCTTACATATGTACTAACTGCAGGGATAAAGACACATTTATGAATCTTGAAGATGAATAACTTTTCAGAATTTTAAAATGGTAAATCCATGGTTGAGTTTAAATTTACTAATGTCATACATCTGTTCAGCAGATATTTAGTGAGCAGCTTCTGTATACTGATGCAGTGCTATGTGACCTTTAACCTGTCAGAATATGACCCCAGTCCTTGAACTTTGAGCTTAAGCTGCCTATTGTCTAGCATAGGAAGCACTGATGACTACACAGCAAGGTCATATGTGGTAGGTGCAGGATGGGTGTTGCAGATCCAAAGCCAGCCCAGTGCAGAGGTGGGCAGGAAAAACACTGTGCAAGAAGGAACGCTCAGGCTGAGCCTGGTGAAGATGGGTAATTTCCGTTCAGCTTGGATTCACCACCTACCCCTTGTACCTGCAGGCGACGTTACCACTGACCCACAATGTGGATCTGCAGTGGTTGGTGGAGTGGAACGCAGTCCTGGTCAATAGCCATTATGATGTGAAGAGCCCTTCTCATGTCTGGATATTCGCACAGTCTGTCAAAGACCCGTGGGTCCTCTGCCTCTTCAGTTTCCTCCGGCAGGAGAACTTGCCCAAACACTGCCCCACGGCCCTCAGCTACGCCTGGCCTTATGCCTTCACTCGGCTCCAGTCAGTGATGCCTCTGGTGGACCCAAAGTAAGGGATCCATGTGCTTTCCTCTGTTTTGCTGGTCTTACCATTTGCCCTCTTAAATTTTCCTTGTATGCAAGAGATTGGGATATGATGATCCTCTCTAATTTCTGAACTTCCCACTAGAGAATTCTTAACATTGAGTAAAATCAGATTAAAAAAATTTTGTCTAGAGCTAGGGGTTTTTTGACCTTAATAATCAATATGATTGTCTAAGTCTATAATCTCAGACTCTTCATGGTGAAAGAGACCTTAAAGCTCTTCTGTTCGACTTCTCATCCAGTGCAGATATTCTTTGAACAACATCCTTGACGGATAGTTGTTCAACTCTATTTAAGCACTTCCTATGATCTGATCTTTATTTGATACTTGATATTTAAAATCCAGAACTTAGTTTCCCTCTCGTTTTTGACTCCATGTTTCTAGTAGCCCAATTAATGCCAAGAAAACCAGCACTGCCGGCAGCGGAGACAACTATGTTACCTTGTGGAGAAATTACCTTATTCTTTGTTTTGGAGTTGCAAAACCCAGTATAATGAGCCCAGGACACTTAAGAGCTTCCACTCCAGAAATAATGGCGACCACACCTGATGGTACAGTGAGCTACGATAACAAGGTGACATGACATGCTTCAGAAGAATTATTCTGTAAGGTTTTTTTTTAGCTTGTTTGTCTAGAGTTCACAGTGCAAATTGCACTGTGCCTGCCATCTGGAGTATTATGGGATCAGACTTTCATCCTACACATTTCTAAATTCCATTGAGTGTTTATGTGAATAATTTATTACTCCTCCCTGACAAGGTGGGGGGAACGGAAGATAAAGATAAATGGAGAAATTTGCTTAAGACTATAAAGTGACTTGTGTTTATTTGTGCCCTGAGGTTTGGTTCGTGTCCAACATACCACATTTCTCTCACTCCTCACCAAATAGTCACCTTTAAACCATGCCTTGATTATTTTGTTAAAGATGGTTTTGTAGACTTAAATGGTTTAAAAAAGAAGAAGACTGTGATACAAAATTTTCTTTAGAATTTGTGTCCCAGGTGAGAAATGTATTCATTTTGCTGTATTCAATTTGTGGGGTGTTTTTCCCCCCTGAAATGATGGCAGTGCCTTGGGATGTGGTTCAGTACTTTGAAACTGTTATAATGGAATCACCTTTTGATTAAAGGAACTATCGGTTACCATGTTACCTCTTTTTCACTTTGAATCCACTTGTTTCAGGCCATAGGCACCGCTTCGGTGGGAGTTCTGTTAAAGCAGCTGGTGCCTTTGATGAGGCTAGAGAGCATTGAGATCACAGAGTCCTTGGTTTTAGGATTCGGAAGAACAAATTCCCTTGTTTTCAGGTACAGTAGTCTGAATGAGCTGTTCTAAATGCATCCGTGCTGCTGCTGTCATAGCTACCTGTTTTACTCAAGTGAGTGTGCATGTTGGCATGCACCTGGAGAGTTTATAAGCTTTGCGCGGTTCCCTTTATGCCGGCGTTGGTTGATGTGCATGTAACAAGCATTCCTTGCAGCTGCCTCACATTTCACTTTCAGTCCTAGCAACTTTGATTTTACCTCTCAGATTTCAGTTCACTGGCAAGCTTTGTTTTAGGTAACTATAAATAAGATATTTCAGTGTCAATCCTCAGTTAGCCAAACGGTTAAGAGTCTATAATGTCAAAATAATAACAGCCCACTGTGCCATTTACACAACAGACTCTTGAAGGTTGAACGCTGATAGAGCCCTTTCCAGTGTGTTAGTTGATCTTTCTATAAGGCACTTTCTCTGCCTTGATAGAATCAGCATACAGGTTTTCTGTATTCCTTATTCACATCTGCAATCAAATAACCTCTCCATCTGAAGCAGCCAAAGCCTTTTGAAAGAGACATCATAAAATGTTAGTTTGGGCTGCCTCTGATGACTTTAAGCAACAAAAGCCTAATCTTAAACAAAATTTTCCATGTAGACAGAAAAGAGAAAGCTCCAAGCATCTGGGAGTAACCCTATTCGAAAAATAAAGATGAATGAGACATTTTAGAGGCAACTGAAAAAGATCTGTTAAGTTATTCATGTTTAGAGTCAGATTTTATCCTTAAAAGAAGTAATTGTGGGTTCTGACTCCAGTGGGTGCCAGTTAACCAGTGTTCTACCAGTTATTGGTTAATTAGTTAAGACAAAGCATCATATAGAAATACAAGAAGATAACCATAACAATCCCTGAAATTACCTAACATTCTTTCCCAAAGAACCTAAGACTCTTTTGCATATCTCGCTCTCTTAATGTTCCTAGAGGTAGGCAAGATTAGGCAATCACCTAGCCGCATGAGTCTGGAAAGATTAATGTCTCTGGGCCTCAGTTTCCTCAAATGTAAAACTGGTATAATAAATAAAAAATAAAGAAAGTGTATCTCTCCAACAAAAAAATGGTATAATAATAGACATCATCTCATAGATTTATTGAGAAGATATATTCAGTGTGAATATGCACATAGTAAACATTTGGTAAATGGTAGCTGTGAAGTGAAGGAAACTATTAATGTTATTCCCATTTCTTTGATGAAGAAATTCTAGCATCTACACTGGAAAAATCAGAAATGAACACAGGTTTTCTGTCTCTTAGGGCAGAATGTCATAGAGTTTACCTTCCTATCCTTGGATTTTCCTGGAGGGTGATGTCTAATAGCACAAAATATCCTGCCAGAAAGTATAAGGTTTTCAAACATGGCACATACTATAGACAAAATAGCTCAGTAGTAATCTGACAACAGGCTAGATCTTATCATGTTGTCAGTTTTGAAATAGCAATTCAGAAATTATGTCTTAAGACAACTAATTGGATTAGCAAGTATAAAGCTGAGAACTGGAGACAATGGGGACAGGCGAAGTATATATATGCAATATAAGATATATAGTAATGTGATCAAGACATTTTTACTACACAAGAGAAAAGATTTCTATGAGAATCTCACTGTTTTAGTACTTGCCATAATTTATATTTATCATATAGCTCAGATAAAGGAATTTAGCTCTGAAATCCAAAAAGACTTTGTTTTTAAAATCAGCTATAAGTCAGTCTCCTGAGCATGGCTGCCAAGGTATTACCGTAGTAATTGCACCCGTCTCTTATCCTCTAATTGGACTGAAAATTTCTTGTGTACACTGGCTCAATTTTATTTATCGTCAGTTCCATAGTTTGTAGTAAAGTACTCTGAATTTAGTAAACACTTGGAAAATGTTGTTTAATTGTTCAGGTAGGGTTTTTTACCATAGCAGTTTCCAGAATATTAAATCAAAATCAAGCCAATAAATATGTATCAAGCCAAAATTATATGCAGAGCACTGGAACTAAGACCAACAACATGAAGAATAGGCCCATACCTGTTTCCAGTTCACCACATGATTGGGAAATGGTGAGTTCGAGGGAGATTTTGGTGTTAGAAGCAAAATGAAAAACGCAGTGATTGAGGATTGAATGGATGTACAACATTTAGTGGCCAGTTTGTTGTCAATAACAATGAATTCCAAATGCTGACCTTTTTCCTCCATAGAGAATTGGTAGAAGAACTTCATCCGTTAATGAAAGAAGCTCTGGAACGAAGACCGGAGGTAAGATTTTGAATTTAAATAACTGAAGCTTGGTTTATTTGGACACTGGTGTAAATTTAAATCAAACCCAATGGTTTCCCCTAAAGAATACAAACACCAAACAACTTTTTAACAATGAATCCTAATATTTCAACTTGTCTTGTTTTTATTATTTTTCAGTATTAAATATTTAGTATAATCTGGTTCTATGGATTTTATATCCTAAACGTATAAACGCAAAGCAACTTAAATAGTCATGTATATGTAAAATCATTACGTTCTTTTGCAAGAGGTTTGCATTAAAATTGAATTTTGCTGTTTACTTTGTTTGCTTGTTGTTTACAAGGAGTCGTATGACCAAGAATATAATTTGTCTCATCTGGAGTATGAAGAATTCTCCTAAACATTATCTTCCCCAAAGTGAATTCTGAAAAGGATGAACCTGTAATGTACCAGGATAAAAATAATAATAATAAGACTAAAAAAAAAAAAGCTTCCCATATACTAGCTATGACGTAAGAATGGCAGAAATTTAGCAATTTGAATAAGAACAAGCAGTGTTATCTCTGTGACCAGCAGTGGTGGGATTACGAGTGTCCCTGTGCCTTTTCGCTTGTTTCAGATGCTTGAGCCTTTCAGCAGACGCTGGGAGCATTTGGGAAACAAGGCTTGTTAGCTCCCAACATTCCCACCTGATAAATATTTATTGTCCCACTTATGATCTGTTTCTCTTACAACCTGTGATAGCAAGCATTCTCTCTAAGGAATAGGAAAAAAGAAAAATACCTGTTGTCTTTTATGCTTAGAACATTGAAAATGACTTAAGACTACCCTTCATACAGTTTTCTAAAGCACAGTTAATATTGTTTTGTCAGCGTCTGTAAGTCATATTATTACCTCTTTCCACACAGAACAAAAAACGCAGAGAACGCAGAGACTTGTTAAGGCTACAACTACTTCGAATTTTTGAACTTCTGGCTGATGCTGGTGTAATAAGTGACAGGTAGGGTCGCAACTCTACTGAGTTGATTTCTCCTCACCAAACCGGTCTTTTTTGTCTCTCTCTCTCTTTTCTGTTCTTTGTTTTTAAATATAATACCTTTAACTTAGAAGAGTCAAAAAAAAAAAAGCTTTTTCTTTTTTCATATTCTACTTATGCTGCATATAGGTTAGGAACAGATTTAGTGTGTGAGTTCTGACAGTGAATCTTACTTTTCATGAAGCATGTACCACTTTGATGTAAAGACCGATCATCTAAAAGTTTAACTTTCCTGTATTCCAGCACAAACGGAGCCTTAGAACGGGATACGTTAGCCCTTGGAGCTTTGTTCTTAGAATACGTAGACTTGACCCGCATGCTCCTAGAAGCAGAAAATGACAAAGAAGTTGAAATTCTTAAAGATATCCGGGCCCATTTTAGTGCAATGGTGGCCAACCTGATCCAGTGTGTTCCAGGTATAGTGATACATTGTTATAAATTACTTTCCATGTTTGAAAAACCATTTGTGTTATTACTTGTGCTTTCCTTTCTAATCCTACTGAGCTGTATGCAGATCTGGGATACAATTGTTTATTTATTTTAAGATACTTGGAACTATACATGGGAACAGATTGTTGAAACTCAGCAGAGTTGGAAAGGGAACGATACGAATTAAATATGTCTTTGTGCTGGTCATTTCTATTCTTTGTTTTGGTTCCCATCTGAAAATGAACATATGTGATTTCTATAGGAAGGAAGTATTCAGAGGGAACGTTCACACAGGATTCGTTATTTTCACGTTGTCTCTGTGCTATCTGTGAACAGGTAATTTCAGCAATGTTCACGCTCTCTGACTCTACCCCATCAACATATTAAATAGAATTCTATGTAGCTTAACATATTTTTCATTCGATTTAATATTACATTATAGAGAAAATTATCTTTCACAGAGCAAATAGGTATCCAACATTTTCATTCTAATAGAAGCATAGAAAATAAAATAGCTGGGCAGTTTGATGTAAAAATTATTCTAATTAAAACTTTTGGGCATAATGACAAAATGGCCCAACTCAACTAATATTTCTACTTCTCATTATTTTGATGTTAGTAACCTTCTTATCAATCCTCTTCATCTCTGATGACCCTAAATTAAGATAATGAGTCAACCTCTTCAGTTAGAGTGAAGTTCCACATGTGTGTTTCAGTGGTCTATACTATGTTTCAGAATTCTTCCTAAAGGTGGGCAGCATTGTCTATGTAGCAGCAGCTGAGTGCGACGTGTTGCAGTTTTCCTACATATTGATTAGAAAACAGTCTCTGTGGGTCCCACTTTGATCTCTACTTCCCATTCTGAGCCAAGGTGCTGCTGACTACAACACGAGAAGAGGAAGAATACACACTGAAAAAGAAAATCTGACTTCACTTTTTAAATACATGTTTTATTATCTAACGAAAATTGGAGTTAGGAAATGAAATTGTTCCTTTAGGAATTATATATAAAGACCGCATTCAGTCTTGTAGACTAACTCTGCTTTTCTCCCCAGTGCACCACCGAAGATTTCTCTTCCCCCAGCAAAGCCTGAGGCACCATCTTTTCATCTTATTTAGCCAGTGGGCAGGTCCCTTCAGCATCATGTTTACGCCTCTGGATCGGTACAGTGACAGAAACCATCAGATTACAAGATACCAGTACTGTGCATTAAAGGTAGGTGACGTTTTCCTCACAGAGTGACTTTCATCAGATCAATGGTCCCTTTCCTTAAACCAACAACCATGCCTTAAAAATAAGGTTTAAATAAATAATATGATATAATAAAATATAAGTGCACATGCAAAAAAATCAAATGGACACACACATACACACATATATATAAATATTTAAACTGACTTCAACAATTCCAAATAGGCACACATAAAGACAGATAGATATGTTTAAATATGTAAATATTCCAGTTGGACTCACAACTTTAAAGTGCAAAACTTTTCCAAGCTCTCACTTTTATCCAGCGTTTCTCCTTTATGAAAACCATGTATTTTTTGCTCATTTACCCCTTAGGTAGCTGCCTTGTCAATTAACTTCCAACCTAAGGGAAAAAATAGATCTAACCTCAAGTTCAAAATCTACCAGGAGCTGCATTCCCTGTCTACGCTTCTTCTGTCCTAGAAAACTGCCAGAAATAAATTTCCATGCTACTAGAACTATTCAAAATCTTCAGAAGCATGATTCCTTTAAGTCTAATTTTCTTTCGAAAATTAACTGTGTAGCCACTCTGTCACATATACCGTAAGTGGCTGACTCTCAGGTGGACTTTGCCTCAGTGGAGCTAATTAAACTATGGCCCTGATAGTCAATGGGACCTGCTAATTACAAGGTTAATCACGATTCCCTTCTCTTACCTTCCCTTGATTCCTGCCCTCACCTTTAGAGGAACTAAAGTTTATATTTTTAGTTTTCTTTACCTTTGATTAAAGATCATAATTACTTATTTTTATATATTTCATAGTTTGTCTTTTAGTACGTTAGTCAAATACTTGTCAAAAAAGCAAAATTCAAAAAGCTATATTTCTCCTATAAGCAGAATTCACTTGAAATCATTCAAGGAGCATTTATTTTAAATATTGTGAAGTGGTTATTTTGTTTTGAAGACTTACTCTTTCATCATAAAGAGTTTTTCTGATTATAAAATTATGTGTCTACAAAGTTAAATTTATGGTTTTCTAACTCACAAAAAAAGCCAAAGAATGGGCACAGTGGCTCATGCCTGTAATCCTAGCACTTTGGGAGGCCAAGGAGGAGGATTGCTTGAGGCCAGGAATATGAGACTAGCCTGAGCAAGAGAGAGACCACATCTCTACAAAAAAATGGAAAAATTAGCCAGGTGCGGTAGTGCACACCTATAGTCCCAGCTAATTGGAAGGCTGAGGCAACGGGATTGCGTGAGTCCAGGAGTTTGAGGTTGCAGTGAGCTAGGCTGATGCCACTGCACTCTAGCCTGGGCAACAGAGTGAAATCCTGTCTCAAAAAAAAGGAACAAAATTTGAATCTGGTATTTTTTATTAAATTTACTAAGGAATGCTTTAAAATCTTGGGGAAATAACTGCTTTTAAAGGGCCTTCATCATTTATAAATCTCATTTTGTGTTTTGTAGAGTCAGTTGGATACCATTAGATTATTCCAAGTTTCATTTCCATGTTTTGTTGTGTTTTTATCATCAGGCAATGTCAGCAGTATTGTGCTGTGGCCCTGTCTTCGACAATGTAGGCCTTTCCCCAGATGGCTACCTATATAAGTGGCTTGACAACATTCTGGCTTGTCAAGATTTACGCGTAAGTACTAGGAAAACATACATTGTTTTTAAATGTCTTTGGTGTTCTGTCTCAGTTAAGTTACTGAGTTGTGTAAGCATTGTTCACGAGACAATCTCTTCACACATCAGCCACACAGTGTACGTTTATGTGTTGCTCACATTACACTATGATGCATCAGAATAAAAAACACAGTAACATTTACTAAAATTGACCATAAACTGCGTCAGAAAGGAAGTCTCAAAAAAGTTCAAATCATTGAAATGATACAGACTATGTTCTCTAATCACAGTAGCATTAAGCTAGTATTAAATAACAAAAAGATATTGAAAAATACACTTCCAGATAACCAGTGAGTCAAAGAATAAATAACAATGGAAACTGGAAAATATTTTTAACTGAAGAATAACGAAAATATTACACAGTAAATTTGTGTGCCATAAATAAAGCCTTACATAGAATGAAATGTATAGCCTTAAATGCATTTGCATGTATTAGAAAGAGAAAAAGGACTGATAGTCAGTGACCTAAGCATCCATCACAAGAAGGTAAAAGAAGAATAGCATATCAAACTCAAAAAAAGTAAAATGAAGGAAATAATAGAGATAAGAGTAGAAATTAATGAAAGAGAAAAAAATTAATATGATGATCAATAGTCAAGAGTTGAATTTGTGAAAAGACTAATAAAATTAATAAATCCATGACAAGTCTAATAAGGAAGGGAGAGAGAGACAAAGAGACAGAGACACGAGCAATAGTGAAGGTGCATGTAACCAACATCAGAACTGCAAAGGGGAGGCATCACAGCAGATGCCATAGACATTAAAAATTAAAGAGAAACTACGAACATCTTTGTGGCAATCAACTTGAAAATTTTGATAAAATAGACAGATTCCTAGAAAAACACAACAGAAGAAGAAAAGGAAAATCAGAATATTTATATGCATAATAAAGAAATTGAATCAGTAAATTGAAAGTCTTAAAGAAACAAAACTTTAAGACCACTTTTACTGATGAATTCCACCAAACATTTAAGGAACAAATTGCATGGATTGAGTACAAATTCTTAAAGAGAAAACAGAAGAAGAGGTAATAAATCCCAGTACATTTATGAGACCAGCATAACCTTGATAATAAAACTAGAAAAGGATGTAGCAAAAAATAAAATTGAAAGGCAATCTCATTCATTAGCATAGATGCAAAAACTTTAAACAAAGTATTAGAAAATTGAATGCAGTGATATATAAAACAGATGATTCATCATCAAATTGGGTTTATTTGAAAACTTCAAGGTTGGTTTAATATTCAAATATCTGTCAGTTCATTAGTATGTTAACTAAATTAATAGAATCTCAAAAAGGAAATATATGATCATCTCAAATGCAGAAAAAGCATTTGATGAAATTCTACATTTATTCATGAGGAAAACTCCTGGCAAAACTAAGAATAGGAAAGAACATCCTTAATTTGATAAAGGGTATCTTTAAAAAAAAAAAGCACCTGATAGTAAACATCATGTTTAATAGTTAATATTGAAAGTGCTCCCTCTGAGATTAGAATGAGCAAGGAAGCCAATTTTCACCACCTCCATCAACATTATACTAGAGATCCTAGCCACTGTATTAGCAAAGAAAAGATATAAGGAATAAAAAATAAATAAATAAAATTCATTTTTCACAGATTACGCAATTGTGTATGTAGCAAATCCAACAGAATCTATAGATAAAGCGTTGGAATTAATCAGTGAACTTAGCAAGGTTGCTGGATAAAAGTTCAAAATTTAAAAATCAATCATTTTTCAACATAGCAATAATAAACAATTAGAAAAATAAATTTTTAAAATTATGCCATTTATAAGAGCAGTTTTAAAATTAGGAATTCACATTAAATACTAACAACACTGTGTAAGGCCTCTTACATAGAAATATATAAAGCATTAATGAGAAAAATTGAAGAAGATCTAAGGAATGGAAAAATATACCATGCTTATGAATTGGAAGATTCAATATTGCAAAGATGCTAGTTCTCCTCCAAAATGATTTGTAGAGACAATGCAATCCCAGTCAAAATCCTAGCAGGATATTCGTGACAATTGACAAGTTTCTTTTAAAATATATATATGGAAATGCAAAGGACCAAGAATAGCGAAGATAATTTTGAACAACATAAACAAAGCGAGAGGACTTACTTTAGCAGATATCAATACTTACTATAAATTTATGGTAATTAAAACATTGTAATATTGGCCCAAGAATAAATATACCAGTGAAATACAATAGAGAGGTCAGCAAATGGCCCGTGTATTATATATGGGGCACAATTTATTTCAAAGGTGGCACTGCAGAGCTGTGGGAAAAAGAAAGGTTTTTTTTTTCAATAAGTAATTTTGGGTCAGTTGGATAGCCTTATTAAAAAAGAGGAAGAAAAAGAAATTTGACCCCTTCCTCACACTATATACAAAAATGCAATGTGTTGCAGGTGGATTGTAGATCTAAACGTTACAGCTAAAATAATAAAGTTTCTAGAAAATAATACAGAAGAATATTTTCATCCTGGGGTTAGGGTAAGATTTCTTAAACAGGATGCAAAAATCACTAACCACAAGAAAGAGCTAATTAAGAACTTTTGTTCACCAAAAGACATCATTAAGAGTGTGAACAGGCTAGCCACAGAGTGAGAGACGTCTGTAACACACAATCGGCAGAGAGTTCTTATCTAGAATATACAAAGGACACCTACAGTGAATAAGATAAATACAGAATCAGTAGAAAAATGAGCAGAAACTTAAGCAATTCACAAAAGAGGTTATCTAAATGGCCAATAAACGTAAGGTTCTCGAGCTCATTAGTAATCAGGTGTCTTAGTCCATTCAAGTGACTGTAACAAAATATCACAGACTGAGTGACTTATCAACAACAGAAATTTATTTCTCACAGTTTTGGAGGCTGAAAAGTCCAAGATTAAGGTGCTGGCATATTTGGTGTTGGTGAGGGCCAGCTTTCTGGTTCACAGCAGTCTTTTTGCTGTGTCCTCCCATGGCAGAAGGGACGAGGGAGCTCTCTGAAGTCCCTTTTAGACAGGTACTAATCACATTCATGGGGATTCCTCCCTCATGAAATAGTCACCTCTCAAAGGCCCTGACTTCAAATACCATCACGCTGGCTAAAATTTAACGTATGAATTTAGGGAGGGATGCAAACATTCAGTTTATAGCATCAGGGAAAAGCAAATTAAAGCCATGTAAGATACAAAATTATATACTGTATAACTTCATTTATATAGAGTTCAAAAAACAGCCCATACTAACCAATGGTGTAGAAGTTAGCATAGAGGTTGCTTCTGGGGAGGAGAAAGAGGCTAGTGAATAAGAAAGTGCCCAGGGAAGGTTTCAGTGGTGCTGATAACATTCTGGCTTTTGACCTGGTGGTGGTCACACAAGTGTGCTCAGGTAAGATAATTCATCACGTAATTACGTATTATATACTATCTCTGTGTATTTTAGGCTACAATATAAAGTTCTAAAGTATAATATAAACTTGCTGATTTTCCTCTCAAGTTGAACTTTTTAATGAAATGTCATTAAGTTCTTTGCAATAGTATCATCAGCTCTTATCTGCTGCTAATTACTTAAGCCAGTTGAGGGACTAGATTGAAGATATTTGACCATCCAATTAGAGTATCACTCCCATCCAGACCCACATCCTGTAAGGAAAAGAAAGCAAGCCAGAATCTTTCTTTTTCTACCTGGTTGCAACTGGCAAGAAGGGCAGACAACTTCAAGAGGAGGCAGGAAAATGTTACTGTCTGAGGGGAACATAGCCTGCAGGCACTGGGCTTCTCCTGGACAAATGTGCATATTTACTGGTCACCCGGATTTGACAGTGGCTTCAGGAATCATCAATTCAGTATCCTATTCTATGTACTAGGATTTTTTTTTCATGTAAAAGCCTCTGATTAAGAAGAGTCTATTGAGACTGCGTTTCTTTGCCGAAAGATCGGCAGCTAAGCTTCACGTACAATATTTAGTAATCAAGCCTCATAATCATATTCCTTCTGATTTTTTCCTTAAAGGACTTTGTATACATAGAGGATATTCTTTGTATATTAGGTTTTTTTAACCAAACACATATATTTTTCAGAAATATTTTAAACACAAAAAGGAAACATCGCCAACAAAGTCTTCATCATGTTTTCAGAGTTAAAAATCAAGAATGAGTGGTTCCTATATAACATCTACATAGAATCAAATTTAGTGTATACCTTTCAGTTTTCAGTTGCAACATTACACCCTCTTAAAGAATACTTGACATAAAAATTAATCCAAAATTTATTTTACCCAATTTATATCAACTAAGCTTTATCTCGTATATTCCTCTTGAATATTCTTTCATTAAATATGAATAATATTGATTTGCTCCGTGTATTCAGGTTCATCAGCTTGGCTGCGAAGTTGTTGTCTTGCTATTGGAACTTAATCCTGACCAAATCAATCTTTTTAACTGGGCCATTGACCGATGCTACACGGGTTCCTACCAACTTGCATCCGGCTGCTTCAAAGCCATAGCGACTGTGTGTGGAAGCAGGTATGAGTTTCTGCAAGCGGTGGTCGGTGACAATTATAATCAAGGTCGCTGTTTGTGCTGTGAATGATTGAGAGCTGACTGTGTTGCAATTATCTGAGCACAGTAAATTCCATGGGAATACAAAATGGCTCATACGTCCCCAGCAGATAAACTGCTCCCTAGAAGTTTGCGGTTACATTGATTTTTCTCATTTTATCAGGAAAGTGATTTGTGGTTGTTGTACCCTTCTTTTTAATTGCCTGGAACTTCACCGTGAAGTATTACAGCAGGATTTGAAAATGACAAAGAGGATACATTAAATGAACTAAAGGAAAGTCTAGAAATGTTTGTGATAAGGGTGAACTGTAAGCCCTTCACCCATCTTTAGAGCAAACCAGATCTACGAAGTGGCCTAAAATTTTTCAAATCCACTTTGTTCAAAACTTTAGAAAGGAAAAAATGAAAAGAAAATGTGGCACCCCAGATTCTATAGATTACACTTTTAAAACCACTGCCTTTCTTATATAAATTAGTCATTCAGTGATGCCATTCAGCATATAATTTATGGAGTGAAATAATTTCACAGCTAAGATAAAAGGGATAATGAAGATTCTTCAAATTGCAAAATATATTCCCAAGAAAGCGCTTATGTATCAGGAAAATTGAGAGAATGCAGCTGAAGTTTATTTTTTAAAAGATTCACATAGACTGTCAACTTTACTTTTTAATTAAATGTTGTATTTTAAATGGCTATCTTGAACTACCAGATCAAGGGAATAAAACTGAATTAGTTTTAAATTCCAACTTATTATGGGTCTAAAGTAATAAGAACAGTATTTTAGAAGACATCTACTTTCAATAAACCTTAAATGAGCATCCTGTTTAAAGAGACAAGTTTCTCTTTAAAATTTTCATCTTTCTTTTATAAAGATAATAGATAACGTTTCATGTCTAAAGCTTTCATTTTCTATAATCTTAGTAGTAGAATTTTTACTACAAACTTTAATCTCCATAAAAGTTATAGCAGATGAATATAACACATCCTAAACTGTCTGATTTTCCACTGAGTTTTATCTGATACAACATTACTAAAAAATATACCTACAGGACATTACCAAAAGAACATTGTTGCAAAAATCTCTTTCCCCAGAGTGTGTTTTTATTTTCAGATATTTCAACATTCTAAAAATAAAGTTTTGTTCACATGACCCTTTGATTTAAAAAAATGTATTTAGAATCTATGACTTGAATCTCTTTCTTTGAAAAAAAATAAAAGTTTTACTTCGCTGCCCTGCTCCCAGTGAACTTGGCTTGAACTATCCTAGTCAAATTTATTTCATTGCATGGCCATTTCATAAAGTATCACACAGCATTTCTCTGAATAAATCTAGGTATTTTTCCTTAGGGAGCACAAATAAATGCTTTATGAAATTAACAATATAATCTCAATTTCAATACTGTCTCTAGTCACAGAAATACTGGGTCATAAAACCTTCTGTGTTCTGAGTCGATATTTCAAGGTGTTATCCTAAACTATTTTGGCTTCTTAGACAAATATTGTCTGTCTGTTTACATTCACGACACTCATCTATTCTGAAGTAAGAGAAGAGGGCCGGGAATACCATGGCTGGGGCCAAACTGCCCAAACACTGGCCAGCACTTCTGCCATTTTTCACCACAGAGCATGTTCAGAATTTAAAGTTTCAGCTATGGCATAAATTTGTTCTTTCCCCATAAATTCCCAGCCTGTATAGTCCAGACAGCCCTCTAGATAGGCTTGAGCAGTCTTTGCACTTATGTTTGCAGTATTTCCTCCCAAAAGCAATTCTGGTGTTTTCAGCTTTTGCTTCATTTGTTTTCTGCAAGTTTGCATCTAAAAAAGCCATGAACAAAAGCTTCTCAAAGGAAGAAAGATAAATGGCCAATAAACATATGAAAAAATGTTCAACATCACTAATCATCAGGGAAATGCAAATTAAAACCACAATGAGATATCACCTAACTCCAATGAGAATGGCTTTTATTAAAAAGTCCCGAAACAATAGATACTGGCATGGATGTGGAAAAAAAGGAACATTTATATACTGTTGGTGGGACTGCAAACTAGTACAACCTCTGTGGAAAGTAGTATGTAGATTCCTCAAGGAACTAAAAGTAGACCTACTATTTGATCGAGCTATCCCACTCTTGGGTATTTATCCAACAGAAGAGAAGTCATTTTATCAAAAAGACACCTGCACTCCAATGTTTATAGCAGCACAATAGCAAAGACGTGGAATCAACCCAAATGCCCCTCAATTCATGAGTAGATTAATAAAATGTAGTATATGTACACCATGGAGTACTACTCAGCCATAAAAAAAGATGAATTAATACCTTTTACCAACAATCTGGATGGAACTGGAGACCATTCTTCTAAGTAAAGTATCTCAAGAATGGAAAAACAAACACCGCGTGTACTCACTACTAACTTAGAACTAACTGATGGGCACACATGTGCAGAGGGAAGTAAAACTCAGTGGAAATCAACTGAGGGGAAGGGGGAGGAGGGAAGGGACAAAAACCTACCTAATGAGTACAATGAACACTATTTGAGTGATGGACACACCTATAGCCAGGACTCAAGTATTACAAAAGCAATCCATGTAACCTAAAACGTGTGTACCCCTTAATATTTTGAAATAAAAAAATAAAAAAGCAAGTAAATACCTTATCTTATGAAATATGTTTCTGAAACATCATATGCAAACTGAATCATCTTTTACATTTCTCAAACAAGTTATCTGTTTGAGCAACTCCTACAAGTCATTTTCTAAAACAAAGAATTTTTCTTGTAAAATAAATAATTACCTCCTCCTTTTCAAATAGGAATGATTGTATGCTGGATTTATTTTTAGAGGAATGTGACAGTTTATAAGCAGATTCATTTATTAAGGAACCACTTATAACTGACATTAAAATACCTGAAGGATTGAATTTTTTTTTTTTTTGAGACAGAGTCTCACTCTTTTGCCTGGGCTAGAGTGAGTGCCGTGGCATCAGCCTAGCTCACAGCAACCTCAAACTCCTGGGCTCAAGCGATCCTTCTGCCTCAGCCTCCCAAGTAGCTGGGACTACAGGCATGTGCCACCATGCCCGGCTAATTTTTTTTTTCTATATATTTTTAGTTGGCCGATTAATTTCTTTCTAATTTTAGTAGAGACGGGGGTCTCGCTCTTGCTCAGGCTGGTCTCGAACTCCTGAGCTCAAACAATCCGCCCGCCTCGGCCTCCCAGAGAGCTAGGATTACAGGCGTGAGCCACCACGCCCGGCCTCAGGATTGAATTTTTTAATACTCTTGTCAATTTAAATTTTCTACCTTTTGTTTTAAAAGAGGGAATTAGCCATTTTTGCATAGTAAATACATCAATGTTCATTAGCTGTGATAATGGAAAAAAATTGGTTCTCTACATTCTTCTTTTTGGTTTCTTTTACAGAAATAAAGGACTGTGTGTGTGTGTGTCTGTGTGTGTGTGTGTGTGTGCATGTGAATGCACACGTGTACCGTGAACTTACTGGACTCCAGTCAAAACTATATAGCTATGCTATACTGTGACTCAGGTGATACTGGGAGACAGAAAGAAAAGAACTTGCATAGAACCAGGGGAAGTGAGGATAAAAGTAGAAAGTGATGGTAGAACTGGCAATATTAATTTTGTAGAATTTGTCATAAAATATGTTAATATACTCGATTAAGAGCTATTAAATGCATCTCAGTGCTATAATTTAGCACAAAAGAAAATTGCTTACTTAGGCAGCTTTAGTTCAAACAACTATTTGTCTTCGGTGTGTGTTCTTATTAACTCTCCCCTCAACTCCAAGTGAGATTAGTATGGAACAAATAAGGAAATTGAGAAAGAGACTAAATGACTTTCTGAGGTTATAAATCAAGGTAAATAGTATATTAAAAGTAGGCCATTTCCAATCACTAGCTTAACTCACCAGAATTCTCTTTACATTTAATTAAATACTGAAGAATTCCATTATTTTTACTTTTACCCTCCAACATACTCCTGAAATATGTTTAATAGGTGTTTTAGCATTACATATAAGATCAAAGTTTTGATTCTTAAAGAATTTTGTTGGGTTTATTTTCGGTAGTGATTTTTGTTGTCATTGTTTGTATGTTCGTTTTGCCTTAACTTTCTATAAATCTTTCCTAATTTAAATCAGGCTTAGAAAATTAGAGTTTTTTAAAGTAAATGTCCATTTCTTAAGGGAATAATACCACCCATCTAATAACAAAGAAGACACGTGAAGGTTATGCCTCAGGAATCCCAGTCACACTCCCTAACTGGTGATAACGAGCCTTATTTAGTGGTATCAGTCAGTTGGAGTATTTCAGGAGAGCAGAGTGTGGGAATTTGGCCTCTGGAAACATACTGTCTTGGGTTCAAATCCTCATTCTGCCTCTAATCAAGCTTTATGCTCTTTAGCAAGTTACTACAAATGCTTACTCATTTGTATAACGAGGGGATGATAGGGTTAGGTGAGGATTAAATAAAACCAATCTCTTGGTGTAAAGTGTTGCATGTAGTAACCACCCTATAAACACTATTTTATTCACTAGTTGTTGGAGGGGAAAAGCTATGAAGTAATCCCCTGCATTAACTATTAAAATCTGCTTCTTTTCAGAATATCTTAGAGCTATCTTGAGCTTTGTCATTTAGTTCCAGGTAACCCAGAGCTCGTGGGCATTTCCCAAATTCTTCAAAATCTTTTCTCTTCTAGATAGTTTTATTTCTTGTTTACTATGTGAATCATAGCTACCTCCCATTTTTATTTTGATTTTTATTCTGTGTGATCACAGCTGTCTTTATCTTTCACCCTTCCTGTGCCTTGTTGAATAATTAAATACTGAAAGGTATAAGATTCCATTTCTAAGCCTAATTTAAACATCTAAGTACAGATATTTTATTTGTGCTGTTTCACTTATTTGCAATCTTCCCATTTTTTCCTTTTCTGGGTTTCTTTCATTCTCTGTATCTATTACTTCTTTCAGTGTCATTCCTCATGAATTTCATATCTCAGTCTTAAGCAACAAATTAAATGCCCTAATTACATGGTCAAGTGCATGGCCCTGCCTGCATAAGAGGGAAGCTTTGTCTACCCCTTTCCTGCCTTTAAATCTCCAATGATCCAGCAATGTTTTTCAGTGTTCTTATATATATACATACACACACACACACACACAAACATACACATATATGTGTATATATATGTATATGTATAAAATCCCTGTGTCAGAATACAGAGATGTGAGGCTTCTCTGTTTCTATGGGGCTCAGAGGGAATTTCCTTTCTACTTTCTCAGTCAGAAAGGTCTATTTCTAGATACTGCAGTTTAAGATTACACTGGCTATGACAGGTACTACTGTGGGCTGTCTGGGAGGCTGAGAGCACTGAATTCTTTGGAGTCAGACATATCTGGGAGTCTGGACTCTACCACTTCTATATGACCTCACGCAAGTACTTACCTGCTCTAGGCCTCACAGGCTTATTGTGAAGACTAAATGACAAATCTAGGTAAACGTTTTGGCCCAATACCTGGCACAAAGTAAGCCCAGCATAACACAGATGTCACCCATCGTTCATCATCGTTCTTACCCTCATCATCATCACGACCATCATCAGGGGGGAGTTCCCAAATTTCCCATAAGATACACCAAATTTATGCTGTGTTCATTTAAAAATACAAGTTCTAGAAAAGTAATCATTTTGGAGTGCAAAGTAGTAAAGCTATTTTGGAAGGCAGTATAGTAGCATCTACTAAAATTTTAAATGGCCCTTTGACCCTTCATGGTCTCTCTAGGAGTCTTTTCCAAAGAAATACTTGCACATTCGGCGTACAAGGCACTATAATGAAAAATTGAAAATAGTCTAAATGTCTATCAGTGCATGTCAAAAGTTGTGTTCCCCAGGAAACAGACTCTGATATGGAGATTCGAGTGCAGGTGATCTAGTAGGGTGTGCCCTTGGGGTCAACATCTATGGAGAAATGAAGGAAGTGGGACTTGGGAGAGAAAAGAAAACTTCAGTCCGTTCCACGGGGGCTGCTGCGGAGTAGGCATGACCTTGGCCTAAGCACAGCTCTTTGGCTGAAGGCAATTCCCAGGGAAGAAGTTTGCTCCAGGGTATGGGCTGCCAACACTGTAGTTGAAGGATTGAGAGCCTCATCCTGAAAGAAGGATCTAGGTGGCACACCGCAGCATGCACTATAGGAGCAGTTATTTGTAATATCTTATACTGTGAAATACTTAGCAGCTATGAGGAAGACTGAAGTAAGCCTCATGGTTCAGTGGTAAAGAAAATCATCAAACATACATACAGGTAGTAGAATCACATTTATGTTTAAAATCCTGTGCATTGGGGGAGAAGTATTTAGGGGCACATATTTTTGTATATACTTAGAAAAGGGCTGAAATACGAAAATATTGACAGTGATTGCCTCTGGGGTAGGAATATATCAGTTGGGAAAGAGAAAGGATATGGGGTACTTCTACATTTTATTCTGTACACCTACCTACAACCAGCACCAACTTGCCAGCCTCATGAGTGAACCAAATTCACAGTGGATCCTCTAGCCCTATGTGTTGCTCGAATCTTTTAGAAGAAAAATGTATTTATTTATTGCTAGTATCATAAAAAATAATATTCGATTAATATTAAAAATGAAAAACATTTTCATATGTTTAACCGATTGTCACTATCATTTCTCACTAAACTTATTGTAAATGAACAATTGGCAATTGTCTTCATAGTAGAACATGCCTTTCTAAAAGGGTGATTGTCTTGGTCCTTTTTCTGTTGCTTATAACAGAATACCTGAAACTGGGTGATTTAAAAGAAAAGAAATTTATTTCTTACGTCATAGAGGCTGAGAAGTCCACGGTTGAGGGGCTGTATCTGGCGGGGACTCTCTGCAGAGCCCTGAGGTGGCTCAGGGCGTCACATGGTGAGGGCTGGGAGTGTGCTAGTTCAGGTCTCCCTTCCTCTTCTTATAAAGCCACCAGTCCCACTCCCACAATAGCCATTAACCCCTTAATCCATCCATGAGGGCAGAGCCTTCATGACCCAGTCATCTTCTAATAGTTGTTCAACTCACCAGGAGTTTTCTATTATGACCTCTTTTCCACTATAAACTAAGAAAATACAGTGAAAAGATGTCATCTTTAAATAGTATTACATAGCAAGGAAAAAATGCACTTAGTCTCTATATTCTGTTTGGTTTTAATACCAATTTCCACCTAGTCTATTCTCCATGCTCCTATCCCCCCACCCAGCTCTCATCTCACATATACAATCAATTACCAAATCCTCTTTATTTTATCTCCTTAGTGTTTCTCAGATCTATCCCCTCCTCTGTCTCTGCTGTCCCTGCCCTAATCCAAGCCCACGTGAGTTCCCATTTGGATTCTCTAACAGCTGCTGCTCTTGGCCCCTTACAATCCATTCTCCACACAGCAGCCAGTGATTCTTCAAAAACAGTGTCGCTGCCTCCCTCCCCTACTGCGAATCCTGCCACAGTTCTCTCTAACCAGAAACTTTTACGGTGAAGTCCATGGGCTGATCATCCTCTAAACCCACCTACTGCCCTAGCCCCATCTCCTTCTATTCCTCTACTTAATTCTTTCACTCAATCTACTACATAGAAATTCATTCCTTTTACAGAAGGTATCTTGCCGTTTCAGTCTTACAGTCTTTCAAAATGCTGTTCTCTCTGCCTAGAATACTCCCATCCTACCTTTTCCATGTCCTGGCAAATGTCTCCTGGTGCTTTGAAACATTTTACTTGTTTCCTCCTTAGAAAGGCATCCCCTAACCCCACATCTGATATAGGTGTCCCTCATCAGGATTCTTGTAGACACTGTGGATATTCCCATCATAACACTCATCAGAAATAGACTGTACAGTTTGTCTCTGTGCCTAAACTGTAAGCCCTTCTTAAGGATAGAGACCAGCCTCACTAACTTTGTATCATCAGTACTTTGTACATTGTTTCTGATAATTGCTGCTTAATAAATTTAGGGGATCAAATGAAAATATTAATTCAATGAGGTATTGAGAAATTTAGTACACGTATTCTCTTATGTCCTTTTCACCTGTCTTTGGCTTTCATTAAAATCTATTTACACTGGATAGAGTTTTTTGTTCTTTTATCCTGGTATCACAATATTTAATTTTAAACAAAGATAAAGCCACCTACTAAAAAATAGCAAAAGAAGAGGGCAAGAAAAATGGCCAAATGGGGGTGGAAATGTCATCAATAAGTGACTGAGGTTGGTGTGCCATGTTGAATTTTGAGAGGTAATGGTCTATCAAGATTACTAGTCATGCTGTCTTATAAACCATGCTGTTTACTTTTCTCTAGGAATTATCCCTTCGACATAGTGACATTGTTAAACCTGGTTCTATTCAAGGCCTCTGACACCAACAGAGAGATTTATGAAATCTCCATGCAGCTGATGCAGGCACGTATCACCTACTGGCACAGAAAACATTCATCCTTGAGCACAGAAAATAGAAATGGTAGTTGATCACTGAATTTCTGTTTATTGATAGGGTTTTATTTATTTCTACATATCATTGGATATGTGGACATAAAGAGTGAGAAAACAATCATGTAATCTTCTATAAACATAGTAATTTACTGATGCTTTACCTTTAATACTATACTAAAATAGGCATTAATTAGCTTTGTTACTTCTAACCTTTATTAAATACAATTGCTCCTGAGATGTCCGGCTTATGTTTTTCATACCATGTCTTACTTTCCTACCTCTTTATAGATACTTGAAGCAAAGCTTTTTGTATATTCAAAGAAAGTCGCCGAACAAAGACCCGGCAGTATTCTCTATGGGACGCACGGGCCACTGCCCCCCCTCTATAGCGTGTCACTCGCCCTCCTGTCCTGTGAACTGGCCAGGATGTACCCTGAGCTCACGCTCCCACTCTTCTCAGGTACCACACAGTAATCAGTAATGACATAGGTGATAACTTCTTCTGCACTAAGGAACTTCTCTTTTTAATTTCTAGTTTACCTTTAGAGTCAAAATTCGTGATGCTAAATTTCCAGATCAGAATTGCTGTGGGCTAAATCCAGTTATATATGGGAGTAAATTCTAGAATATCTTTAAAATGTAAAAAATAAATTGTTTATCTAAAATAGTATTGGTATACACATACATACAGCAAACACAAAGATGCTTAGGTTAATAATAATACTTCTGCATACATTATATATGTAAATTTCCCAAAGAAATTGACTTCCCAAAGAAACTAAATATGGGCAGTACCACTTATAATACATACAATTGTTGTGAGTTGGCTGTTGGTGGTGGTGACAGTGGTGGTTTTTTGTAGCTTATATGTTGCTACATAGATAAGTTGTTGAGAGTTTGATTTTTGGCACATCTTTATGAGCAATCTTCATGAATAACTTCTGTGAAAATCCATTTTTAAGTAATTGCATTTGTTAACTTCTTGCCTAAGCTCATGTTGCAGCTTGCCAAGAGGCAGATTTTGGTCTCTTGAACTCATCCTCTTTTTGAAGTGAATAAAAATAAATTTTTATTTATTTTTAAAAGAATAGTAGGGGTTAGAGCCCCAGGACAGATAAGATGGGGATGGAGAGAGCACAGAGCTGTCATCAGCAATACCGCTTTGTCCAGATCCTCTTCGGTCCTCCCCATCTCTGCATCCCCGATTACAATTCAACCCCCATCTGCTACGCAAAGCATACAGCACTCCTCAACTCAAAACTTCTCTGCCCAATTGTCCTACATACAATGGCTGGTGTTAATAATAACGGCTTCCATTTAGTGAATGGTTAATATGGGCCAGGCTCTGTGCCAGGCACTTTATGTGCATTGCATTTGTCACTTAGTCTTTACAACCCCTGGTGTAGTACAGTGGTTAGAGCAGAGGCTCTGGAGTCAGGCAGCCTGGGTTCAAACCCTGGCTCTACCGCTCTCCAGCTGTTTGACCTTGGGCAAATCTCCATTTCTTCATCTGCAATAATAAGAACCCCCTCATAGGGTGTTGTGAGGATTAAAATGGGCTAATGAAAACCAAGCAATTGGCCCAGTCCTAGCATGGAATTATCACCACCGCCACCACTATCATCCCTATTTTTACACATGAGAAACTAAGGCTTAGAGATGTTAAATAATTTGCTCAAGACCATATAGCTAGGAAGCAGCCAAACCAGAATTAAATGTAAATCTGTCTTCCTCCAAAGCCAGTGCTACAAAAATTGGAACTACTTAGCTAAGGAAAAAAAAAAAAAACTCTCCTTTTCCAAACTTGCTTTCTACCTTTTCATCCAAGAATTCTCTACTTCGATCCCACTTAATCCTTGACCAACACTCCAGGCCTTCTTATAAATCCTTGCTTCTGTACATGCTGTTGCCTTTGCTGGGAATGGCCCTACCCCCTCCCTAACTTCAGCCTTCCTTAAGATCTAACTTAAAGTCCACCTCTACTGTGCAGAACTCTCCATCTACTTGAGGCAGAGCTAGTCACCTCCTTGTTTAGTACCTTAAATAGTGGAGAGACCCAAGAAAAGCCTTTTTTAGTAAATTAATCCTCTTCTTGAAAAAGTAGAATTTATTTTTATTCACTTCAACTGAGATTCAGGTGCTGCCTATGTGCTAGGCACGGTGCTTGGGTTCTAGGAATACAGAGGTGAATAAAACAGTATCTCCCATCAAAAGTTCATAGTCTAGTGGTAAAGACAGATATACAATCATGTGATTTTGATACAGTGCAGCAAATGCAATTTTTAAGAACTTATGCTCAATGTATGAGATGGACGCTGAGGGAGTAATCAATTATCGGGCCAGGAATATCAGGAAAGACTTCCCAGAGAAACTGATATCTGAGCTGCAGTTTGAAAGAAGAGTAGAAATTTGCAGAACAGACAAGTAGTTGATGGAAATTACCAACCAAGAGAAGAACATTTGCATTGGCTTAGAGGTATAAATAGCCTGATGCATTTGGGGGATTATACAGAGCCCCATTTGGCTAACATAACATGCAGGGAAGGGAGAAAGCTAGAGATGGCCACAGACAGACAGACAGGCAGAAGTCCCGTCTTAGAAGGCCTTGTATTGCACACTAAGGAGTTTGCAGGCCAGTGACCTTCTACATGTGCTCTTTGAACCCCCATTTAAGAGCCCTGTGAACAGGGAGGGCATCCAAGCAAACTGCTGGGGTTCTGAAAGCCACTGATGAGTTTCAAACAAGAAGAGGGGGTGACAAGATCAGAATGCATTTTAGAAAGACTGGCTGCAGTGTGGGGGTGGATTAGAAAACATCCAGTCTAGAAAGAGGAGACCAGATAAGAAACGGTGACAAAATTACAAGGAGGAAATGATAAATGATAAGGGCCTGATTGAAGATAACCCAGTGAGAGTGGAGAAGAGAGACTGAGTCAAAAACTGCTGGGCAAGTGTACGGGAGAGAGTGCCTGCTGTGATATCTGGGAGGTCGCTGTGATAACCCTCCACCAATATAGCGAAACCCAATGCAGGGAGAGAAGGTTTCAGGTGAAGCAGAGATCAGGAGCTCAGCTTGGGCTATTGGGTGCAGGCATCTGCTGGACACCCCTCTGTACAGACAGGCCTGGACTCAGGGGAGGCCAGCACCAGAGACTCATGAAAGAATAGGAGGTGTTAGAGCCACAGGCACAGATGAGAGCAGGAATAGAGAGAGCCCAGAGTGAAAGAAAGGATATGCACACCCAACTTTTGCAGCCTGGGCCATGGAAGAGCAAGGGAGCAGAGAAGGAATGGGGAGAGAACACCCAGGATAGAGTTTCATTGAAACCTAGAGAAAAATGAGGCTTTATAATAGAAGGAAAGAGTGTGCAGTCCTCAGCTTCCAATGCAGTTGAGAGATCACCAGAAGATATGGTCTAAAAATGACCCTCTGGAATTCGCAACTCATTGGTAACTGCCGATAGTTTCCATGGGGAGGTAGCAGCAGAAGCCAGATTGCAGTGGCCTGGCTGAGAAGGAAGGAAAAAAGAGAAGCTGGCGCTCCAGGAGGCTGCAGAGTCGGAGGAGGAGTTTTTAAGGCTGAGCGAGATTGGAACATGTTTATTAGCTGAGAGGGAGAAGGTATTATATTAATAGTACGCTGGGAGAGGCTCGCAATTCGGGAGAGAGGAGATAAACAGCAAGTTTAACAACATCACATGCTCATATAATGAACTGCAAGCAGCTTCAACCTACATTTTCTTCAAGATTTTACCTTTTGGCTATTTTGATTTATGGGGAATAACTTTTTTAAAGTAACATGGAAAAATTAGGAGGTTATAATAGATTCCTAACTCTTGTTTCACTGCCTTTACTTTTATAAACCCTGTGGTGAGATTTTTATTGCCTGTAATTTCAGGTGACCTAATTACTTGTAAGTAGCCAGACAAGTTATTCAGGTCCCTCCCAAAGGAGCCAGAAAACATGTGAGCATCCCACTGACATTGCTCACATTTTATTTAAATTGTTTCTGGAGGGATGAATAGGGGGTTGTTTGCATCTCTGTGGCATTTTTTTTCTCTTTCCCTTTCAAAAACACCTTTACTGTCCAAAAGCTACATAGGTGCTTGGGATACCTCAGACAGACATCCCCACCCTCCGGGACCTCACATCCAACAGACAAATGCAATTAACATAATAAACTAGCAAATTATGTAGTATGTTAGAAGGTGATCATTGCTACTAAAAGTCTGTAGATTTTTATAGCATTGTTAAAAGATAGGTATTTTAATAGCTGCTCTCCCACTGATTGGAATTTTATGTTTCCCTCTCCAAAGTCTTGCTAGTGGAGTTTAAATAGTTCTTCCACCGTAAAACTACCCCGAATCTTTGCAACCAGAAGTCATTTTCCTCCACTGAACCCCCAAAACGTTCTGTGCCTTTCTTGTGTCATTTGTCGCTGCCTCTCTTGCCCCAGAGTTATTTGTCAACATAATTTGTCTCAGAGTCTCCTCAGGGGCAGCAACTGCATCACTAGTCAGTCTTTGCTGTCTCTGTTGTGCCTAGGACAGTGGCTTGTACCTAGAAAATACCAGTACGTGGGGATGAATGAATGTTCTGATTTTAGGAGGATCTGAGTATGTGACATAACAGTTCATAACACCGGTCATAACATTCGTGAACTTCGAAATTAAGTAATTTTGAAGTTTTTGACCTATATAAAACATAATAGCTTAACTCGGTCTGATTATTGTAGTATACCATTAAATATATTCTTCAAAATAAAAAATCATAATTTTAATTTTAGGAAAATAGTCAAATCAATTACATCTTGGTATAATTCCTGGCATCAGTGTTGTTCTATTGTTTAGCAGCCATGAGCTAAATGAGATTATGTGCCACGTTGGCACCAGCATGGACCACACTTTCTGATTTCCCTGAGGATAAAACATTTTCTTCTCTAGATATGAGAAATAGGAGATTATTTCACAGCCTACTGCATATACATAAAGCTGTGCTTCTATATCTGTAGAAAGCTTATTCAGATTATAAAATTAAATACTGCTGGCAGTGACACAATGCAAAATACTCTCTGGTGAAATGACTGGGCTGGACGTAGAGCTTCCCCCTCTGACTCGCTCATCTCACAAAGGGCAGCGCAGCACTTGGCAGGCACCTTCCTCCTGCTTGGCAGCTTTCAACTAGACCCCATAAACTGGGTTTATTCCTCTTGGAGGTACACATCTCACTTTTTAACAACAAATGTTTCATGGAATACACCGTGTAAGACATTAGGTTAGGGAGAGATAATGATCATTGTTAAAATAATTCTAATCACAATTTCTAAGAGCCTGCTGAGCATATGATTATATCTTCATCTTTACAAGTAGCCCAATGTGGGACCCTATCAGCCCCATTTGACAGATGAGGACACTGAGGAGCAGAGAAGTTAAATAACTGGCCCAGGATCACATGCAGCTAGTATGTGATGGAACTGGGATCTAAACACATGGCCCTCTGACTGCAAGTCCCTTGTTTTGCCCACTCTGAGATACCCCTTCTGTAGCAGTGGATTTGAACTCAGGAGGGCTCCACCTCACTCTACTTTCACACAGCCTGTGCTTGTCCCACGGTGCTATTCCCCTTCCCTGCAAAGAGCACCAGACACGGAGTGACAGGCTTGCAGACAAGCCTTGGTTTTATGATTTTGTGGCCTTGGAGAGCTTCTTTATTTGAAAATGCTTTGTAAATGAAGGCACTGTTTGATCTGCAAGTTGGTGTTCGTATTTTAGTTTATTTTGATGAAATAACGTCCAGCTCTCCATCACCACACTTCTCTTTAGAGGTAAGCCAGCGATTCCCCACGACACACCCCAACGGACGTCAGATCATGCTCACCTACCTGCTGCCCTGGCTGCACAACATTGAGCTGGTGGACAGCAGGCTCCTCCTCCCAGGGTCCAGCCCCAGCAGCCCAGAGGACGAAGTCAAAGACCGGGAAGGAGAAGTGACTGCTTCTCACGGGCTGAAAGGGAATGGCTGGGGCTCTCCGGAAGCCACATCACTGGTCCTGAATAACCTCATGTACATGACGGCCAAGGTAAACTCAGAGGAAATGTGCCTGAAATAGCAAAGTTTCATCATAGAGAAAACCCTGGATTAATCAAACCCCCTGCGGCAAACCCAGGGAAAATGGCATTTATCATTTAAGATCACACGAATGGGGCTGAAGGGTGGTGATGGTTGCACAACCTTGTGAACTGAACTACACACAGAAAATGGTTGTGAGGGCTAACTTTACATTTCATATATTTCACCACAATTAAAAAATAAGCCTAAAATTCTAAAACATCACATGAATAGGTATTGTGGATGACCGATTTGTACATTATAAACTGCTCTCCTAAAAGATGACATCTTTCTGATGATTGGCCATGTTTACCTCTTCTTATAATTTTGAGATGGCCATGACCCTCAAAACTACTTTTAATCAAACATTTTATATCCTTGCATTTTTCACATGTGTCTCCTGGGCTGGTTTTTGTTTCCTTTGCTATAGTATGGAGATGAAGTTCCTGGACCAGAAATGGAAAACGCGTGGAATGCACTAGCCAACAACGAGAAATGGAGCAACAACCTAAGGATCACCTTGCAGTTCCTCATCAGCCTCTGTGGGGTCAGCAGTGACACAGTTCTCCTGCCCTATGTAAGTGACTCTCCGACTTTCAGGAGTGAGTGTTCCTGCTGGGGCTCCCATGTGCAATTTGCAAGTCAGAATGTGCTCTTCGCTCCACCTAAAATAGAGATGCCTAGTTATGTTGGTCACACTAATCTCCCATGAGCTCATCCAAATGTTACATAAAAGTTCCCTTCTGCCCCCCAGACACAGGGTACATGCACTAGTGATGCCTCTGTCATCTCCTTGCTCTGAGCCTTGGGACACAGAAACCTATTAAAACAGAGGGTGGATATTTTTCCAACGGTCACCAAAAGCTCCCTTCTATAAACATTAGACCTGTTATGTAAGAGACACTAGGTAAAGCATTATATTATCACTAATAAAAATACTTAATGTTTACATCTTGATGCTCTTAAAACAGAATAAAAACGCAGAGTATCCAAGTTTCTCTCTTTCAGTTCAAGTGGTAGAAGAGAGAAATCCCTCTGAGATGGTGGATATTTACTGTTGGTATTTAAAGGTGATGGCATCACCAGAAACTCGAACTCAGTTGGCATTTCTGTGCTGGTTGTTTTATGCCTTCCTGCTGTTTCAAGCTACATAAGCCTCACTGTAGTTCACAGGCCTCAGGCTGGACTGTGAGGCCTGCAATATCTCAGAGCTTTAATCTAGAGTTATTTTAAAAACTGAAAACCATTAAACAGTTAAAACTCGTTTGTTTCTAGGGGAGAAGAGAATAGCAGGGAACTGGATTCCCTTTTAAACAAAATAACTAGCAGTTTTTTCCCAGGATTTGTATAAATAAAATTCTTTCTGAAGATAAGACTTTCAGATGGCAAATTTTCAGTTTGGAGAGAATGCACATGCCCCCAAAGTAACTTTTTTAAACTCAGCCATTAGAAAAGGTAAGGTCTTTAACAACACACTCCTGTCAGATGAGCATGTGAAGAGAGGTGGATTTTAATCCAAGCACTTGGTTCATCCTAGGATAGCACCAAGATTAGCTATCAGGACGCCAGCTCCTGGGTGATGACGTACTTATCTAAATGAGCGGGTTATCGGCCTAGCGTTTCTGTGGACTAAGCTCTGGAAAACGTCCCTTGTTTTCTCGTTTTCTTCTCAGATTAAAAAGGTGGCAATATACTTGTGCCGTAATAACACCATTCAAACCATGGAAGAGCTTCTCTTCGAGCTACAGCAGACAGAGCCGGTGAACCCCATCGTCCAGCACTGCGACAACCCGCCCTTCTACCGCCTCACAGCCAGCAGCAAGGCCTCCGCCGCAGCCTCCGGTAGGGAGAAGAGTCACGGGGCAGATGTCTGGTCATGGGCCCCTGGGTTTTCCTTTATGTAGATCCCTGAAAGGATGAGTGTGCGCTGGTTACTTTTTCTTATTCCTGTGGAGACATTCAATGAAGAGATGGCTTAAGAAGTGCTCAGACTCTTAGGGCATTGCTAAAGTAATGAAATGATTTTATAAGGATGACCAGTATCGGTGGCCCAGTAATCCTCTGCCACAGAGCTTTTTACTTCAGGCCAGTCCTAGGCAGGACACTGGAGTAACTCAGGAATGTCATTTCTGGACCCTTTCTCTTATAATCATGGGATTCCCTGGGCTAATATTCTCCCAGGGTTGACCAAAATACCCTCAACAACATTATCACTCTCAATAAATTGGTGTGTTGGCATCGTTTCACGAAATATATACCATCCTCCTCAAATTCCTTGAAGCTGGCTCAACTTCGATTTACCTAACATTATACCTGCCTTCCAGTTCCTCTCCTCTGCCAGTCTCTTGTGCCCCCTTTTTGCTCTCCACCCCGCTGCCCGAGCAACGCTCTTACACAGAAGCACTAGCCCAAGAATCAGAAGCTCTAGGTACTTGGACTTGCTTCACTAGCATTAGTTTAATAACTCCTGGACCCAGAAATACTAAAGCAGCCAACAGCAGAGCCGACCACTGTAAATAAGCTCGTTACCTAAGTGGCCAGGAAGAAAAGGTTTCAAGAATGTTGTAGCCTGGCTTTACAAGAGAGTAAAGGAATTTGGTTTGACCATAACAGATGTCTGGGATTCTCCCATTTCAGTGGTGTAGGCTTGGAAATTTGTTTAGAATGTCTGAGATTGTACAGAAGAGGTAAGGAATCTTTCAAACATGAGATTTTATGGGAGGTCCTTTCCCGGAATCACTTGAGACTTGAGCTTGATGCTTCTGCGTGCATGTTTTTCCAAAAGTTTTTCTTCTAATCCTATCTACAGGAACCACCTCCAGCAGCAATACCGTGGTTGCTGGCCAGGACAACTTCCCAGACGCCGAGGAGAGCAAGATATTGAAAGAATCTGATGAAAGGTCAGTGCACAAATTTGACTTAATGTCCAGTATAACTTTCAGCAGTAGTCTATACAAAGGCATCAATACGAGTTTGTGGGATTTCATAAATTATACACATACACCACAATCCGTCTCTGTTTTGAGAAACACAGGCTGATGTTCTGACTCTCTTCCATACATCCCTAAAGATAACAGTTCTCCCCTCACCAAGTCAGAAAAGAGAAAGATAAACAGGGGTGTTGTTCTGGTGGCAAAATCCCACTCACCCCAGGGCTTAGTAGTGGGCACAGACCATCTGGAATTAGAGGGAATTGCCATGTGAATTGTTCAAATCTGGTTGTTGAACAATTTCTTCGGGATAGAGTAGATGTTTTGAGGTAAGTTCTGTGAAACGTCATCATTCTTATTTTATTTTTGCTTTATCATGTCTTGTTTAACCAGGAACCCTATCTTTTCTGCTAAATGAAGTCCCCATTCCCTTTACATTAGCTCTTTAATGTAAGTCAGTCTCTGGAGTTCTGAAGGCTCCTGCTCTAATTCAGGCACCTGCTGGCTTCCTCACTGCTCACTGGGCTGCCGAGTGGCCATCAGGTGGACGCCCATCTGCAGGGGCTTCCATTCCGACTGGAAGCGCCACCCAGTGGATCATAAATTACAGACCCTGTCCTTCACGGTTCTCTAATAAAGGCCTTTCTTTCTTTCTTAGAAATGAATAAAGGTTTTCATGCTCCACACATTACTTAAAGTACAATGTTATAAATTAGCATGTTTTTTAATCTGTATTTGCTAATACCTTCTTTGGAAAACCACCTCATGGTAAAAATCACATTTCTCTAAAGATATTTTACTTTCTGACTGGAGTGTAACATTCTTGATCATTTATTTAGTCTAAGTTTCCTATCTGAATTTTATTTGAGGTACGAAGATGAAAGATTTCCACACATTAACATCTCATTACAACGGCCTCTTAAGGACCACAGTTCTGAGTGTCCCGCCTAAGTTTTTAATTGTGGCCTTTGGACTTAAGAAGACAGTTGCCTCTGTAATATCAAGATCAGAGAGCACCTTCCAGAGAGGTTTTCTTGTTTAGCTCTGGCTCTCCTGCTCTGTCACTGTATCTCTGTTGGCCACTGAAAAGCCTGAAGCCTTTATCTACTTATTTATATTACATATCAGATTCTTTCATACTGACCATATCTATCTACCTATAAATATACTGATTGATCATATTCATATGCACAAACACACATATATGAATATTCTGTCCCAAAGGATACCACTATCCATTGATCATATATTCCATCTACACTATTTCTCTACTATATTCTTTCTTTTCCATGAAAATAGGCTGAGACCTGAGCCTAAAATTCCTTCTTTCTCTTCAATCTAATTACCCTTCCTTCCTTGTAGTCCCTGGCATGTTGATTTATAGGTACTTGTACACATGCTCGTCTCAGCCACTAGATTTTAATTCCTAGAGAACAGATACTATGTGTCTCTTACACACATTTCTATCCTCAGTGATTAGCACACTATGCTGCACACAGTAGGCGTTGAAAAATGTTCATAAGTGAATGGAAATAGAAGAAACTGCACAGCCCCAGAGGTCGATAAGCCATGTGAACACCGTCCAGGCTCTGCTTGTCCCTCCCGCTCACTAACCCATCATGGGAGACAGTGATTAACTCTGTTCTTTTTAGTCCTTGCAGGCAGAGTCTACAGAGACAATGTCATTCAGGAAACCACCCAGGCTGCTGTGTCACACGGCTCCTGGGGGTTCTCCTCAAGACACATTGTTCATTCCAGGGAGCGCCATGGAGTTGGGCAAAGCAGACGCCCTGACACCGTGTTCTTTTCAACTAGATTAATGGTTCATTAATGTGATTCAGGGATATTTAATAATACCATTCCTACTGACAAAAAAAACAAACTAACCACGTAGCTTAAAGTAAAAGATCAGTAAAGCAAGAGTAAGAACACGAGCCAAACTATGAGGAGGGGGAGACAGTTGTGTCAAAAGCCCTAACTGAGGAAAACTACTACAATTTATCATTAACCTAACTCTGAGGCCCCCATAGTCAAAATAAAAAATATAGAGAGAGAGAAAATTTTATAATTTTCACTGTATTTTTTTAAAAAAAGAAATTCATCAGAAATTAATAGAAAGCACACCTAAACTCTAAGAAAGATTCATCATGTTCATTTTATTAGACAACAAAATGAACATAGATTTTTATTAAAATGGCAGTTTATAGCAATTTTTAAAATATGTAGAAATAATCTTCATAAGTATTTTGAATATATCAACCCTTAATAAAAGCCTATTATAAATTTATAATCCCACAAAAGGATTTTTCAAAGGGAGCTAAAGCAATAAACTTTAAAGCTGGATAAATTTTTGATGATCTGTGTTTGAAACAGAAGTAGAGATTATATAATCTCCGAATTGATAGTATTGACATACATTAGCATATATTAACATACTATTAATACAGTGGCCTAAGTATTAGTTTGAGCTAAATCTATAGGATAAAACTTAGGGAAACAGTTTATCCTTCTAGTTTGTCTCTTATGGGAGCTATTTTCATATGTTTCTTAAGACGTGTACCTTTGATGTTAAAAGGGTCTTCAATCTACTTAATCCTTGAAACTCTTAGACAGAAACTCTAGAGAGACCAAACCCAAAATAGATTTTTTCAACCCAGAAAAGCAAGGGAAATAACAGATTTTGCTCTTGGGAATTAGCTCTGTACTTTTTCTTTGTCAAGTGTACACCTGCTGCACTGTGGTTTCAGTTTTCTGCAGAGCAAGGGGAACAGTCTGGAAGGGGCTTGTTCCTCCCCTTCATTCAGCCTTAAAAACTCTACCTAACATCCCTTTAGATCTATCCCAAAAAGGAAAAGAGAATAATTGCCATCCATTCTGTCATTCTTCCCTGCCCGGGGCCCTCAGAGCACCATTTAAAGCCCAGCATACATCACAGTTCGTTGGTAGCTAGGGGTGCCACCACCTGATGGCCATCTCCAGATGAGGCCTTCTTTCATCACCTGCTTTGTTCCTTGCTGAACGGTGTATCAGCATAAATACGATTAAAGAATTTCTTCAGAAGGTAATAGGTTTGTCATTTTTCTAATTTCCTAAGTATCAGTCTGATTTAGACTGGTGCATGGCCTGATTTGTACGAAACTACACAGATGTCCTAGATACTCTGTTTTTGTAGATTCACAAAGTAATAGCCCCAAAGATGTGACAGTGCAGAATGTTTGAAGTCACTGCGGAAAAAATAGTTGTATCAGGAAGGGGGAAAAAAGCTGTTGCAAATATCTAAGTGAATAAAACCAAAGTTAGTCTAGTCTATTACATTTTTATAATTCAGCAAATCCAAATCACTGATGCAATATTGTGAGGTTATATACCTGGGACAAGGTATACATCTTAATGGCACATCCAGTACTTTTTCCTGAAATGTTACTTTCTCTATACGTTGGTGCAGACTCCTGTAGCCCTGCATCTTCCAGTGTTCCAGAGGGAAATAGAGTGTTGAACTGTTATGAATTAAGTCAGAACACCCAATTAGTGATGTAAGGAGACACACCTATTTGGGCTTAAATTTTCCAGATATGTCTAGATAGCCTTAGTTCTTTGTTTTGGCTGTATATATGTTGAGTAGATAAAACCTACCATATATCATTTTATATAATATAAATATAAACAAACCATTTTGCCCACACTTCCCCTGAACCACACCCTTCTTCTACCTTATGGGTCTTTGGATGATAAATATGCTATGATTTGAAAGCCTATGATTCAAAAGCCCTGAGACAAGGCTTTCTAGAAATCCAGTAGGAGCATAATAACTAATACCTTACAGTTGGATAGTGTCTTGCTGTTTCAGAAACACTCTCACATCATTTCTTTGGATCCCCAAAGTAACCCCAATAAGATAAAAGGTGAAGTCTTTTTGCAGCTGGGGAAACAATTTCTCCAAGGAGGTAAAGGCCTTGGCCAAGGCGACAGAGCTAGTGAGTGAGACCTCAGTCTTAGAGCCCCGTGTCCCATGCTGGGAGGCAGCGTGGCATGGAAAGCAGCCTGCGCTGCCACCTCCCTCTGGTTGACACTGGACAAGCTGTTTAACTTTGCTCATCCTCAGTTTCATCATCGTAAAGAAAATAATGCTTAACTCAAAGATGAGAGAGCAAAATCAAATAAGATAATGTACATGAAGTTGTTATACTTCAATTTTTTTCTCTCTCTTTTTTGTTTACTTCTTAACATGCCACAAAAGAGACCAGCCAAAAGAGTCCCTTTGGTCCATACTGTACCCCAACCACTACCTTCTCTTGAACATTCTCAGATTATTTTAAGGGAAACTTTAAAGCCGGGTAAAGTCCAAGATTTGCTATGAAACTATTTTTGTGTATTTCCAATTCTATCTGCTGTCACTTGTTTAATCAGCCAGGAAATATTTACTGATCACCCACTGGGTGCCAGGCTATCTGAATAAGGCAATCATATCATTCTGTGTCATGCTCATGTTCTTTCCAAAGCAAATGGTACCATTTTCCAGTTCAATTGAAACATTAGCCTTAAAATTTTTATCTTTTCAAGGTTTAAACCTGTGTTTTTGAGCAAGAGGGACCACTGGCCCTCTCAAGAAAAAAATAAATATTTGGGGTATAATTTTTACAGGATTCCCTTAAGAAAAGCATTGTTGGAAGTAGCAGCCAAAAAATCAACCACTATGTTGATTTAATAGTATCTGTCCACGAGTAACAGCACATACACACACATGTCAATATTTCACAACTATTGTTCTTGTATTTGAAGGTTTAGTAATGTCATCAGAGCCCACACTCGCCTCGAGTCAAGATACAGCAATAGCTCTGGAGGATCGTATGATGAGGATAAAAGTAAGTACCAACAAGCTGGTGCCTTTCGGATGGGATGTGTATGATCAGAGAGTGGAAAATGAGTATTTTGATTATTCTTGGTCTAATTACTAAAAAGGGCTTATAAATGTTAAGTAATCATTTAATCCAACAGGCATAGAGTCAGTATCTTAAAAGTTTTTTTAAAAGCCAAACAATGAATAAATCAAAATTATAAAAATTCAAATTACTACCCAATGCCATGTTTTTACATTCTTGGCATTTTTTGTTGGTGAGGCAGTTGGGAAAAGGCTAGTAAGACATTGGTCCATTAGAAAACAAATGTTGCTGTTCAGTTTTTCAATCTACCCTGGGAGTGGGGTTAGCCTTGGAGCTTTGTGAGTCTGTTCACTCAGGACAGAATCTGTTTTCGCATTGAATCTCTCAGCAGCGTAGTCTCAGTAGTGAAAACCTTGCTCACCTGGGAGATAGCTTTGTTATAGGAATTTCTTTAGGCAGTTGGGAAAACCAAAAATGTCAGTGCATTCATTGGTTTTGTTTAAGCCCTGGACAGTTTCTGTAGATACTGAACAGATATGGGGTATGAGTTATAAGATATGGTCATGAGTTATAGGAATTCTGGAACCAAAGAATGTTCCCAGTGACATTTAAATATGCTAGAGAAATCAGTAAACTGTCTTGTGGAATGTATTTTTCTATTTTGGCAGAAATTGTAAATATAGTGATAGGACATGAGTTAAGTTCCTTTTGTAAGTGTATAGGCTTTTGTAGTTGTTGTTTTGAATTGTTTTGTTTTTATGGGAAATGTGCAGATTCAGGTAAGAGCTAGGTGGTTATAATGATGTCACATTTCAGCTACTCTTGCTGTACTTCTGAATGCACAGGCAGGAAGGTCTTCTCCATTCAAAACACCAATGCAAGGAGTGTCTGAAATCCATATGTAATTGTCATGCTCTAGCTTAGGTTTCAGCTATGTTCCTCTAAGACTTTCCTAGAACTGTCAATAGGAGGTAAAAATAAAGCTGTTTGTATTTTCCTTCCTTTCTGTGTCCCAGCAGAAGACTACACTATCCAAACACTCAACAGTCAAATCTCAGGACCACAGACCATTAGTTCTTGAAGGAACCAGATTTTAGAGATGAGGAAAGCAGTACCTGAGAAATGGAGAGTTGTTGGTTCAAGGAAAGTTACTGTGGCAATATTTGGTAACCGAAAATTTGAGGACAGAAAAATTGAATTTTAGGCCACCTTAATTCTCCTCAGCAAGTTTTTGCTGTTAGGATATAATCTGAGAACATCACTGAAACAAAGACTAGTATATCCTTTCTTAACAGAAAACTCACAAGTTGTTTCTTTTTTAAAATTCTTCAATAGTCTCCCTTTTTTACTTCCCTTTCAAGTTTTGTTGAAGAGTAGGTAATTACTTAGAGGTTACATTTTGCAACTAATTTATACTAGACAGTTATGCCAACAGTTAATTTGCTGAAAATAAGTCATTCTGTAGGTGATTTACTGAGGGTTAGAAGTGAGATGAGTTACTAGTGCACCTGCTTTAAATTTTTTCCAGGCTAAAGTTACTGTGGCCAAGCTTCACGGCATAGAATTAATTCTAGGGTGCCAGTTGCTCATTTATCGGTGTGTTAGAAAGAGCCAACAGTCACTCTTTCTGAGGGACATCCTGACCTTACTAGCTGAAACTCCCTGAGCTCACATCCCAGGAGGAATGGGGTGTTCTTGGTCCTAGTGCCTGTCCTTGGTCAAAGCCTCAGTTGTCACAGCAGGAAAGCATCCCCTCCACCCGCTCTGCTAACTGTTAAGGCCGGTGCTCTACACAGGACCAGCAGCATCACATCAACAACCTTTTACTACCTTTCAGAAGTGCAACCAAGAAAGACTATATTTGGGGAAAATTGCCTGAAGACACTATAATACATCCTTCTTCCCAATACATATAACCTATCCCAAGATTAAACCCGCTTGTCTGAAACCACACGCCTGAGTCATACCATGTGTCTCCAGTGGAATTGCTTGTCTGGAATGCTGCTGGCCTGTATTGACAGCATGATAAGAGATAACTCCATGAAATGTGTTGCTGTGCTTACTTTAAAGATACTGTTATGAAGTTCATTCACTCAACAAATATGTATTGATCCCCTACTACATGCCAGGCGCTGTTGTAGGTAGTTAGGAAAACAGCAGTGAACCAAATGGAGAAAGTCCTCACCCTCCTGGAACTTACACTGGAGTGGGGGAGGCAGTCAGAGCTGCTGAAACAGCAACCTGTGCACAGGGATTTGGGGGCCTGAGAGGGACTAGAGCAGGGTGAGGGGTACAAAGTGATTGGGGTGGGGTGGATTTAAATGGAGTGGTCAAGGTAAGCTGCTGTGATAAAGTGATATTTAAGTGGAGATGCGAATGAAGCAAAGGAACAAGCCATGCAACTGTCCAGGAAGAGCATCCCAGCCCTAGGGAATGGTGGATGTGAGGGCCCTGAGGCTGGATGGACCCAGCCAGATCACAGGATCACAAGGAAACCAGCATGACTGGGGTGGAGTGAGCAAGGGGTGGTCATAGGGGATAAGCCAGGAGAGGAACAGGGGAAGATCTTGTAAGGCCTCAAAGGCCATGGCATGGATTCGGTGGGAGCCACTGGAGAGTGTTGAGCAGAGAAAGACACACAACTGAACTTGTTTTGAAAGAATTGCCCTTGCTGCCCCATGGAATGTAGACTGCACAGGGGCAGGGATGAGAGCAGCGAGACAGTAAGGGCCTCTCGTAGTGCCCAGGTGAGAGGGGGTGGTGGCTTAGGCTTGGGGGTAGTGATGGACATGGGGAAAGGTGGTCAGATTCTGGATATATTTTGGAGGCAGAGCTCGCTGAATGTGTTGATGATGGCAAGTCACTGAACCTCACTTTCCTCTCTACAAAATAGGGATAAAAACAGGTACCTATCATTGGGCCATTAAAACATGAGATGTGTAGAACAATGCCTGCATCGAGTAAGCACTCCGTGCTAGTTCCTAATGCCATTACTGTCACCACCATCATCGTGCTTTTGAGTTAGATGTGGATGTGATGGGGAGGTCCAGGAGGATTCTAAGGCTCCTGTCCTGAGCAAATTGGATATATGGAATTGTGCTTTCCTGATATGGGGAAGACTGAAGGAAGAGCAAGTTTTCAAAGTGATGGGAATTCCCACGATTGAATGTTTTTCCTTGTGTGTGTCTATATTTTCCTTTGCTTTATAATGAATAACTATAAATTAGCAAGTAATAACTGATCAAGTAATTACCAAAACAAGTAATTCTAACCCATTTGATCATGTAATTCATACTCACCAAATGAAATGGTTGGGAAGTTATTTTTACAAGCACACATTTTAAGATTCTTTCTAAAAATACCAAGTAGGGAAAACAAAAATATCCTCTCCCTAAAAATAGAGCACACTTGTCTTTCTCACCCTACAGATGATCCGATTTCTCCCTACACGGGCTGGTTGCTGACTATCACAGAGACCAAGCAGCCGCAGCCCTTACCAATGCCTTGTACCGGAGGATGCTGGGCCCCCCTGGTTGACTATCTCCCAGAAACCATCACTCCCCGGGGGCCACTCCACAGGTGAGCAGTGTGTGCAGGGAGAGGAAAATGACCCCTTACCTTTGACTGGACTTTTCTACCTATAAGAAGAAGAAAACCTATTCCAGGTCCCTCCCAAATGAAAATGACCTCTTAAATCAGTGGTACCATGCCTCACTTGACTACCAGCTCCCAGCATATTAGCAGAGCTTGGCCAAACCTTAACCAATGTGCAAAGCTGCCTTGTGGTCCTTTGAATTGCTCCTTGATATAATCTTGCTATGGATATGCATTCTGTGACACTTTTTAGACTGTAAGCAACTTGAAGACAGGGACCTTGTCTTCAACTTTCCTTTATCCCTCAGCTCTTATTCCCTAGTGACTAAAAGACTCTGCATTATGTGATTAGCTCAACCAATGTTTTCTCTGGTTGTGGAGCTCTAGGCTATGTCAGAAGTTAAACTCTATTTCCCTGGAATAAAAGTCTTACATAATTTTTCAAAAAGACTGAAGAGTTGCATTTAATTGTGACTTAATGATCTATCGGTGTATTTCCATCCTCTTCAGAAGTTGCATTAACTTTCATTTCTTTGATCAGGTGCAATATTGCTGTAATTTTTATGACTGAGATGGTGGTGGATCACAGTGTAAGAGAAGACTGGGCGCTTCATCTGCCATTACTACTTCATGCTGTCTTCTTAGGTAAGACTGGATCTAAGAAGAGTCCCAACAAATAGGTTAAAAACATGCAGAGGTAATCCACAGAGATTTCCTTTGACATTGACATCCTGCTTGTCTCATTTCTGAAATATTTGGTCTCCTCTGTTTTTCATTACCCTTTTGTGACATCTGCTCTAAAATTTCAGTTGATTGGTCATTATTTGAAATTGTCCCATTTCTATGATGTAAATGTAGTGGTGCCCCACTAATGCTATTAATACATCTATAAATATATCCAAAATAAGTTGGGCCTTGTTGAGGGTCTTTGGCTAAGGAGATAAATTTAAAAACACGAGACATGGTTGGGACACAAAGGGAAAGAATACAGAACAGGGTGGGCCACATACCAAGCTTTGTAGAGCAAAAATGGGAAGAGAAGACTGAAACGTTCACTTAGAGATGAATAAAATTAGAATCCTTTGGTAACAAGGGATATGCAGCGACAAGAACATCCCAAGAAGGAGGAATGCTAACCACGTCAGACGCTACAGAGAGGTCACGAGAAGTCCATCTATCAGCATTTTATGAGAACATTTTACTTAAGAAATAAAACATTTTATTTTTCCTAAGCCCAACTTCTTTATGTTGGTAACACAAACAATAAAAAAGAAAACTAAACATTCTTTTAACATGTTTCTCCCGGATATCTTGGAATCCTTACAATCCCTGGAATCTAAACGAGCTTAACGTTTGTTTATACTAAGAGATTCCACCGTTTTGTTCCAGGTTTGGACCATTACCGGCCTGAAGTCTTTGAACACAGCAAAAAATTGCTTCTTCACCTCTTGATTGCCCTCTCTTGCAACAGCAATTTTCATTCCATCGCTTCTGTGCTTCTGCAGACTCGAGAGATGGGTGAAGCTAAGACTCTAACTGTTCAGCCAGCTTACCAACCTGAGTACCTCTACACAGGTAACAGAAGGAGCGGCAGAGAGCCTGAGACAGTCACACTTGGAAAGATAACTGAAGGTGCCCATGGAGCCTGAGTTAACTTCTCTCATGCTATCAATATCACCTCCAACTTTCCAAGTGATAAGTTAACAGCACAATAAATACGCACCATTTCACTTCATGTGAACTTGCCTCTCATAAGCCTTTCTTATTATTATTTTAAAATATTTTTCCTGATTATTATGATTACTGCTCCCATCGAATATGTTCCTATTGATACATTAAAAATTTCAATTTCCATAGGCCACAAGCATCAATCTAGAACACCAAAAGGTAATGCACAAAACAGTGACCATCTCCACTGCCTGAGTGCAGGTCCTGGCCAGGGTGCCAAGGTGTCACCTGTGCACCTTCTACTGTCCCTGAAGGAATTTCCACTTTATTGAATGACTGACTTTTTCCTAGATGGCCCCATTAGTGAGAGCCTATTAAAAGCCATTTCTGTTTTGAAACCAAAAATTTCTTCTTAGAAATGGAAGCAGAAGGCATTAGCTAAATCAAAGAAATTATTCTGCTGTGTCAAGCTGTTCATGAAAACTTTCTCCAAAGGGGTGATCAGTGGTTTTCATTTAGGACCAGAACATTAATATATCTTAAAATGATGATGAAGATTACCAACAGAGTTCAGGGGTTACTTTTTAAATTATTTTATACATTACATTGGCACTGGATATGGTATGGCATTTCAATGTCACTAGGTGCTTTCTTCATGACTTTGAAAAGGATGTACCTTTTATTTATCACTTCTATCCTGCACTGTCTTGACTTCTAACAGACATTAACATAGTTCTTTGGAAAACAAATTTGAAGTTATCATTAACTCTGAGACCTAAGGCCCACTAGCCTCAATTTAGGCTCTTTACTTTGAACCAAGCTACACTTAATTGAAAATAGCCTATCAATAGCCTCTTAGAGACACTGAACTCTCTTTACTATAGATGCTGAATTAAACTGAAAAGTTCTGTCTATTCTAAATCCTGAGAATAAGGATGTATTCCATCATGTATGTGGACTTATGCTGAGAAAATTGTAATGTATGTTGTGTATCTCTGAGTGCATTAGTTTTGCATTCATTATACCACTGATGCGGTATAAAATGATTTAGAGTGGAGATTTACCCCCTCACAAAATGCACACGATATCCTTAGGCAAGACAAACAATAGATCGTTAGAGTGGTTGACTCTATAGCACACAGGGAATAGATGTACAAAGAGTATGGTTAATGTCCCCTTTTGGCAAATATTTATTGATCAACCAGTTTCAATGATAGTTACTTTCAGATCCACACTAAAAACCTGTGTGATAGAAAGTGTTCTCTTCCCCTTACTATAATAGGAAACTGAGAGACAGAGAATTATATAAACTCTATGAGTTTACACTGTAAGTGGCAGAGATGCTATTCAAACCCCAGGCACCTCACTTCTAATTCAGTATTACTGTCAGACACACCAGGACTAGGTACTTTTTATGATTATTAAGTAGGGGAAAAGGGATGGTCTCATGTATACATGGTCAAACCCAAGACATACCCAGATGTAGAATGTCAACCAAATGTAGTGAAAAAACAGAGTATTTACTTATACCATATTTTTTAATACCATGCAACATGCTTTATTAAAATATAATATACACATAATATTAAAGCTTCAGGGCACATTTGCTCAAAAAACATTATGTATAACTTACTCACCAGCCATTAAGTGGCTTGTATTCTCAAAAAGGGTATCATTTCACGTGTTTAAGTAGTGTACCACCCAGGAATAATTTACTAAGAGCACAGTTAGTAGTTCAACTATTACAGTTGAACTGTTCCTTGGCCTGGCCTATGCACACATATAAACATACACACACACACACACCTTTCTTTTATAAAAAGCATCAACTGGAACACCAGAGTAGAAAACTGCAGATCACCTCCTGTTCCCAGATACACACTAGTTGACACAGCAGTGCAACTGATTCCAAAAGCCATAGCCAAAATCAAGTGTTTTCTCTCCAAAATTTAAATAACTGCACACTTCTCTGTGCACCTGGGGAACTCATTAAGCATGCTGACAAGCACCCTGCCTAGCACATCCCTCCTGACCTTCTTCTCCCAACAGGTGGCTTTGACTTCCTGAGAGAGGACCAGTCATCCCCAGTGCCAGACTCAGGGCTGAGCTCCAGTTCCACCTCTTCCAGCATCAGCCTGGGGGGCAGCAGTGGGAACCTCCCGCAGATGACCCAGGAGGTAGAAGACGTGGACACAGCTGCTGAAACAGATGAGAAGGCAAACAAGCTCATTGAGTTTCTGACGACTAGGTAATTAGGGTTTTGGTGTCACGCTGATGTTTGCAGGTTGGACTTTTGGAAAAGAGCCAATGCTTCAAACCACACAGATGGAAGAGTGATCCTGGAGTTCTGACAAATTCCTATTTCTCTTCCAACTTGCATCTTCTAGTATCTGCGTAAAAGATAACTGGTAGAAGTTATCTAAGATCCCACTGATGTGACAATTGTTGGGCAGGGAGATTTCGTGGATAACAGTGATGCAGCAGATGGAGGCAGGAGACAGTAATGCCCTGCAGTGAGCATGACTTTCATCATCTATTAGAGCTGCCAGGATCTGGGAGCTCTGAGATATGGCAAAGAACATCACTCTGGAAACCAAGGATATTAGCCACGGTTGGCCCAGGAGCAGCTGCCAAGGGGACCATTATCAGCTCATCTGGTCCAAAGAGTCATTTGTAAAGGGAAGTCAGAAACCAGAAACAATAGGAAGCATTCTAGGAAAGGAATCAAACTAATAATAAATCACAACCAAGAAAAACTGCAAGCGATCCTGTTTTTTCAGATCTTCTGGTTCTTCTAATTAACCATTTAGCTTGTAAGGCTTCAGAATTTCTAACACCTGAGGTCTGGTATTTGCAGAAGGCCATGCTTACCTGTGACCTGGTGGCATGCTTTCTTTCCTCAGTGAGTTAAATCCTGGAAATCTAGTCTGTGTATGTGTTATCTATTATCTTACATAATTTTTCTTTCTATCAATTAATGCAAACAATACAAAAAGAGCGTTTTCCTTTTACAATTAATGACTCAGGTTATTTTGTGCAGCTCCCAGCTTAATGTGGGATTTAATGTGCAGGAAGCTTAGGAAGGGGGCTGATGGCACCTTTCACACAGGGTGTGTGCACATCCAGGGGACTTCAGAGACCTGAATGGTTTGTCAGAGGAAAGGTATCGTCACCTCTCACCATCTGTGAATACCATGTGTTGGGAAAGGCTGTTCTCTGAAATTCTCCCACATGGCTCCATCTTATTATTATTGAAAACCAAGTAAACAACAGATGCTATGTCTTCAGGTTGGTTCTACAATATTTGGCAACTTAATGATGTGATCCTGATAAAAACCTTATCTCTGCAAATGCTAAAATGTGAAAACTGAGTCTATGTCTAAAGCTATATTTTATTTAACATTTTATATCATTTTATTTAACAAGCAAACATGTAGCACCCAGAAAATGCCAAGCACTGCTCTGGTGAATTGGGAGGTTTTCATTTTTTAAATAAATTTAATTTTAAAACATAAAAAAGTATGCCTCCATAAATTAGCTAGATGTGTTTTGAGTGTGCTAGTAAGTTTTATAAGACAGAAATGTGCCCCAAATTAATTAGTAAAATTTTTAAAAATATATTGTACCTTTGGAGTCAGAACTGCATGTATGGGTTTAAAAATGCAAAATGACAGTTATGTTCTTGACATTTTGTGTGTGTTTTTTTAAGGGCATTTGGTCCACTTTGGTGCCATGAGGACATCACTCCCAAAAATCAAAATTCAAAGAGTGCTGAACAGCTCACTAATTTTCTACGTCATGTTGTATCCGTATTTAAGGATTCCAAATCAGGTACTTCATCCTATTTGCCCAAATCCCTCTTTCAGCATTTTTCTGTAATGGAGCTCACTCTCTCTACGTGCCTACACACCTTGCGATGTGGTCCTGACACTCCACTTCAATGGCATAAGCACATTCATGGGGAAGTTTGAAGCTTATTTCAGATGCTGCCTAACTGAATGATAGTTAATACCATGTATATTTGCATTATGCTCTATTAAATAATTCCCCCAACCTCACTGTTCTACTAGCTTCATTTACCTTGCTAGAATTAAACTGTGCCCATATTAATTTTATTTAAAGAAGACCATGAGCAATAAATCTCATAATTGACTCCAATCAATCTCAACTATGAAAAACAGTCAGTCTGGTTAAATGTCTGGCTGAAATGGTCAAACTGGTTTAAAAAAAGAAAGGAATCGGTGATAAAACATTTTTCACTTTAAAAGTGTTTGCTTAACAATTCCTGTGCAAATGACCATTCAATATTCTGAACACAGTGTGAGTGAGTCCTATTTAAATATAGTAGCATCGTAATTCCTCAGCGGAATTCCTATCAGATCCAACTTGGCCTGCGCTGATTTGTGTGTGAAATTTAAATTGATTCCTCCACATGTTGCAAAACTATCTCTACCTTTTCTCTCACACCAGGCCAGCAATATTAAATACAGTTCACTGGCTTTTCCAGCTGCTCTAAAAATTAGCACATTTCCCAGTTTAAAACATTTCAGATTAACCACATCTCTCTTCATTGTCAGAGGATACTTAGGAAGAAAGAAAAAGTACTGATAAACTGAAATGGGAAAGTTATTCTAGGAATGGGATTGCCATTTCTTGTTTTGAATTTCCCTTTTGGAATTTCTTTGAAATATTAAGACCTCAAAAGTCACTTAACAATTGAACACAAACCCAAAGAAAGAAATTTGCTATTTGTATGTGAACCATTAATTTGTCTAAAACGTTTGATTGTATAAAGATAATAAAAGATGAGGAAATATATGAATGCCTTTTACTGAATTCTCAGCAGGTACTTCAGGCTGCTTAAAATCTAAGTCTTTTCGCATCTTGATCAAGCTATTTTTACTCACTCGGATTTCTTTGTACATCCCTGCTTTCAGCCTGTTTTCACTATACACACACACAATGTGTTCCTGGAAATACTTGTATTAGTCAGAATGGGATAGCTGCTGTAACGAACAACCCCAGAGCTCAGAGGCTTAGCACAAGAGAAGATTATTCCTAGATCATGTGACAGTTCAGTGTGAATGTTCGGCAGGTGGCCTTCCATGAGGTGCTTCGGGGACCTTCTAGCCTGTGGCTCTGCCACCTCTTAAGCTCAGAGGCCTCTGCTGGACCCTCTGAATCCACCAACAGGTGGAGAAAGAGAGAGTGAGTGGAGGATTCCTCAGGATGAGTTGACCCGCCAGGCTTGAATGGGGCATCCAGTGCTGCTTCTCACATTTGACTGACCAGAATTCAGGCACGTGGTCACATCTAATTGCAAGGAAGGCTGAGAAGTGTAGATTCACTCTGTGGCTGGAAATAAAAGCAAACCTTTTCCTTTTCCCAAAGGATAATGTCATTGTGGAGGTGGAGTCCGCAGTCCTACTAGCAAAGTTCTAGCCTTCAAGTTCATTATGATTTAAAAAAGCATTTGCTCATTGCCAGGGGACCTAATCTCCACATAGAAAATGGATTAAGTAGTAAAATGTGACTTGATTAAAAAAAAACATGAAATACTTTTTCGAAACACAGTCCATTCACAAGTTATGAACTGCCGATGTGGGTTTAATGCTGTATTTACACCCTGAATATGTTTGAAGTCCATTTTCCAGGACCCTGTTTTCTCTGCAGGAACATTTTCTCATATAGTCTATTTGTCCCTCAGGTCACATAGCCAAGCTCAGCTAAGAACAATGACATTGAACTATCCCGTCTGGTCCACTTTCACGTGGCAACCAAAGGTGTTGCAGAGCCCCAGCCAAAATCGCTGTTCTCATCCAGTCCTCTGACTCTCGTAGTCTGCTTTTCTCCCTGCAGAGAGGCACGGCAAGTGTACAATTTAATGACCCAGGATTCAGTCATGCACTTTATCTTACATTTTCATTCCCATCTGATTAAATGGCTTTCTGATGACTGAGGTTACCTTTATGCTATTGGAAGAACAAATATTCAGGCAAAAGTTTAAATTATGTCTGGCTTCTTTGCAGCATCTACATTTCAATATCTGCATATTTACAGAGCAAAGACTTTGGCACAAGCTTTAGCTGTGTTTGAGTTGTCTCAATCCACAGGCAAACTCTCTTATGAAGAAAGGAGTGAAAGTATTCTATGTAAAAAAAAAAGTAGTACAGAGGAATAATATAGAAAAATAGCAGGGTAATAAATAATAATACATTTGTGACACATGTTATGTGTCAGGCACTGTGCTAGGCACTTTATCAGTTGTTTAATTTTCACAACAACACTGTGAGGTATATTTTATTATTCATAAGGTAAAGATAAGTTAACAGGCTCATAGAGAACAAGTTTCTTTCCCAGAGTTATAAAGCCCCTAATTCAAAACCAGGATTATCTTGTTCTAAAGCTTCTACCTCTTTCTACTACACTATCCTCCCTAAGATTTATTTAAAATTTGGTTTTAGTTTAAAATGGTTGATTTTCAAATAAGTGCCACCACAAGGTAACTCTGTGCAGTTAGCCTGTTTTAAGCTCACAGGTAACTTTGATGTCCCAAAGTGTACAGAGTAGAGGCTGACGTCTTCCCTGGCTCTTCTTGCCCTAGGTTTCCACCTGGAGCAACACTTGAGTGAAGTTGCGTTACAGACAGCCCTCGCAAGCTCTTCCAGGCACTATGCGGGTCGTTCCTTCCAGATATTCCGGGCCCTCAAGCAACCTCTGTCAGCACATGCCTTATCTGACCTTCTCTCGAGATTGGTAGAAGTGATTGGAGAACACGGGGATGAGATTCAGGTGTGGAAGGGAAGACCACTGAGCGCATGAAGACTGAGCTCTCTTATGTGAATGATGAGAGTTAACTTTCTTTGAGCCTTTTATTAAAAAAATATTAAAGGGTGATTTTTATATTTATGAAATCACTCCAAGGAGTGTTGTTCTAAAAATTAGATAATATCTAATAGTAGATATTACCTCTTTTATACAAGCCAACAACTGGAAATTCTTTAGTGGCTCCTTCTTTGTTGTTTTGGGTGTTGGTTTATTGGGTGGGCAGTAGGGGGCTTATTTTGTGTCATTTTGGGGTTTTGCCACCAACCTGGGATGCAGTTATACGGTCTCCCCACTCAGAGTAGGGATCTTCATTGTACCTGTACAAAGCACCACCCCTCCCTGTGTGGTTAGCCTTCTGTAGACCGAGAAGAGCTGAAGAAGGACTGGAGAGAGCAGTTGCCACAGGAAGACCCTGTAGGTAGAGCAGATCTTCCAGACCTGGGCAGATTGAAAGCCAAAGGCAGTCCAGGCTCTGCCTCTCAGGCCAGGCAGGCCCTTCTTTCCCATCAGAAATGTTCCTGCATCTCAGGAAAGCCTGCACACCTGCAGACGCTACCTGCTTTTCCTCCTTCTGGCCACTGCAAGTGCTTCCCAAAATGCCACTGAGGCACAGGGCATCCTATTCCTCATCTCAATCTCTGGCTTTCAGACATTGCCACTCTGTATCTCAAATGCCCACCCTCCCCTCAGCAGCGGGTGGTGCTTGCCTCCTCCCTGTTGGATTCAAATGAAATTGAGCTGTTGAGGCTCTCGGACCGAGGGAAATAAATCTTTATGCTTATCTGCTAACTCCTAAGCCATCTGAATTTCCTAAGTGGCCCTTAAAATTTGTTTTTAGTCTTCATAAATTAAAGCAGCAATGACTGTCTAAATTTCAATGATATTAACATTATTGGGATAAAGTTTGCATGAATTAAATTCATTGTCAAGAAGTTAACAGTGGCTATAAGCAGTGCAAAATGTTACCTTTGCATGTTTGGCAGGGTTATGTGATGGAAGCGCTCCTCACCTTGGAGGCTGCTGTGGATAACTTGTCCAACTGCTTGAAGAACAGTGACCTCTTAACTGTGTTGTCCCGGTGAGAATCAGCTTAATGACATTTTGAAATCAAATATACTGTACTGAATATTTGGGAGATGCTGGACTTTGGGCAGAGTACAAAGAACAAATCTCATTTCTGAAATCTATTTATGACCTGAAAAAGAATATATGATATTTTCTTAATTTAAAAAAAAAAAGGAAGTTACAACACATAACACATACACACATTATAGAAGTATTTTTAAATGTCAGGAAGATAGACACCAAATATTATCTCTAAAAGATACAAATATTAATGATTTTTTCATTTCCTTTTTTATGTCTTTGGATATTTTTTCAAATTTTATGTGATAATTATCCTATTTATTACATTGGTCAATAGAACCTAAAACTAAATATTATTTTTTAAATGAATACATACAAAGCTCATCTGAACCATGACTATAAAAATAGTTGAAATAATTGTTGACTTTACTTGAAGAAATTCCTACCTTGGTACCTTTTTTTCCCTCCTGCCCATGTTTAATAACCCATTTCAAGTCATTCACAATGCCATATTCTGTTTGTGTAATTGAGCTCATCTGGCTTGAAATTGAGTCAGTAATGTTATCTTGTACCCATTGGGCCTTGTTTCATTTTTAAGTTGAACACTTTTTATGGGCAGATAATTACAGTGTGACTACTACCGTCATACATATTTATCTACATGAACCTACAGATTTACCTAAATCAGTAAAAATTTGTCAAGAATGTTGATAAAAAGTTTTATTTTTTCAGCATGAATAGACTTAGAAATTGTTTTTTATAAATTTTTATAAGTACAAAAAATTCCTTTGATATGAACATTTACTAACTTCTTTATAGATAACATAATTTCCATTTCTGTTCTCCTTATCGGTCACTTAATAGACTATTACAGTTTATACCTATCAGGTACATTTTATTTCATAATTATTCCTACTCAAATTCAAACAAAAAAATAAATGAAAGGTCAATAAACTTTAAGGCCAACTATTGATTTCTTGACACTTTCAATAAGTGGAAGTCGATATTGAGTTTTGTTTTTGTTTTATTGGTGAAGGTTTTCTTGTTTTGTGTTTCATGGCTTGAAGTTTAAGGATGAGGAAAAAGAAATTAATAGAAAGTAGTATTTCCAAAGAATGGTTTCCCTCCTTTAGTGTTTCTCGGTGGCCTTGAAAGGACTCGTTTTGACTGAAGCATGTTGACACTCTATTAAATTTGTTTATTTTTATACCCAGGTCTTCATCACCAGATTTAAGCTCGAGCACTAAACTAACAGCCAGCAGAAAGAGCACAGGACAACTGAATGTGAACCCTGGAACTGCCAGTGGAAATACCGCCACCGCAGAACGAAGCCGGCATCAAAGAAGCTTCTCTGTGCCCAAGAAGTTTGGTGTTGTTGACCGATCCTCCGACCCACCTCGAAGTGCCACACTGGACAGAATTCAGGCTTGTACCCAACAAGCCCTCTCCTCAAAGACCAGGAGTTCATCCTCCTTGAAAGACAGTCTCACAGACCCATCCCACATCAACCATCCCACCAACCTGCTGGCCACCATCTTCTGGGTCACAGTGGCCTTGATGGAGTCTGATTTTGAGTTCGAATACCTAATGGCCTTGCGGCTGCTGAGTAAACTGCTGGCGCATATGCCACTCGATAAAGCTGAGAACCGAGAAAAACTTGAGAAACTCCAGGCACAGCTCAAGTGGGCCGACTTCTCGGGGTTGCAGCAGCTGCTGCTGAAAGGGTTCACGTCCCTCACCACCACAGACCTGACCCTGCAACTTTTCAGTTTGCTGACGCCAGTGTCCAAAGTACCCATGGTGGATTCATCCCAAGCCATTGGTAAAGCCAACGTCGTTCACTCCCGTACAATTCTGGTGGTGGTTGTGTTCATCCTTGGTGTCATAAGATGTTAATAATACGGACTTACTGCGTTTAACAATTCTGCTTAGAAATGGTTCTTTGGGAATAGTTTTTTTTCTCTTGAAATACTAACCAAGTCTTAATTATATTATAGAAGATATTTTGAAGGCAATAGCATAAAGGGGCAGAAGTTATATATAAAATATTAGTGATTTCTTTATGCCTTCCAGACCAAACTGCAGGTGCTACTTATTTATTCCATTGCTCTTGTACAGACTTTTTCCCCTTCTTTTCTTAAGTCCCAAATCTTTTATTTTTATTTATTTTTCTGTTCCTCTTAAAAATTCTCTTGGTTTCCCATTGTTTTGAATTAAGCCAAATCAACAAACAAGATTTTTAATACAATGGCATGTGGTCCAGAATTAATTTCATGAAGCTAGAGCTTAACACAGAGATACTAAACCATTTCTCACCATTTTAAAGAGTCTTTTCAATTACATGACTAAGACTTAAATTGATTGACCTGTGTCCCCTCACACCAGTTTTTCTTAAAATATGTTTTTTGATAAAAATTTCAAACTAGTGCCTCGGTTCAGTTCAACCTGTGCCAATAAAATCTGTGCCAGTCATCCTCATTCACAAACAGATCATGGCAAGGTGACCACTGTGCCTTAAAATTACAAATCTCCCGCAGTGGTTTCTTTGTAACTCATGACATTATGGTTGTACATTTTTGTGGATTTTGTGTTAGATCATATGTAAGGTGCTTCAAAAGACTGCTTTTGTATCACCTCAGAATCAAATCTTTAACATGTCTTCCCGCTGTTAACAGTTAAAACATACTGTGTTCAGCTGTCTCCATTGTATCTTCTCTACTGCAGGGTTTCCACTGAACGTCTTATGTCTCCTGCCCCAGCTGATTCAGCATTTTGAAAATCCCAATCAGTTCTGTAAGGATGTAGCCGAAAGGATCGCTCAGGTACGAGTTATGGTTCCAAACTCGGGCAGGTCCATACATGCCTTCAGGAAGGCCCAATGTCAGACAGAAATACTAGGCAAAGAGAAGACAATGCTTTTCTCAAAACCTGCAAATAGTAACTGATATCACCAGTAATGTACATGTATGGGTGGCGAATGCAAATTGTCTAGTTTGCTTTCATTATTGAGAAAACATTATTGAGAATTTGTGAAAATTATATTAGCCAACCTAAGCACTTCTGTAGCCATCAAAAAATATATCAATCTACTTTCCAGACTGCCAGAACTTACAGTAAAATTGCCAACCTTTCTTCCTGTTCATTGGGCTATTTTATCCCTAATTGGTTTTCTTATCTTAAAAGGTTTGTTTGGAAGAGAAGAACCCCAAACTTTCAAATCTCGCACATGTTATGACGCTTTATAAAACACACAGCTACACAAGGGACTGTGCCACATGGGTCAATGTGGTTTGTCGATACCTTCATGAAGCATATGCTGACATTACCTTGAATATGGTTACCTACCTGGCAGAGGTAAGCTTTTAAATTAAGGATAAAATCTGTCATAGCTTCCATGGGTAAAATATTTATATAGAACTGATAATATACTCTTAACTTCCATTTGTTGAGGGCCTATTAAATGATATATGATATAGTGCTATTGTTGTAGATGCTAATGGAATCATTTTAAATCCTCGCAACAATCGGTGATGTAGATACTATTATAATAAAGAATCTGAGGCTCAGCCAGGTTAAATAATTTGCCATAATTTTAAGGCAGCAGAGCCAGCCATTGAACCTATATATAATAACTGCCTCCAAAGCTTAAACCCCTTCTGTTTACTACATTAATGCCTGTCAGTGCATAGCAGAGAGGAGAATTCCACCCAGATTGCTCTGGGCATTCAAATCTTACTTAAGGAGTTACTGTGTGCCTCGATATGTTCAGTGGTTGTTTGCTCTAATTAACAAAGCATACGTTCTGACATAAACTTTTTATCTTCGCCTTTTGTGTTTTTTTTTAAAACTGCAATGGTATTTTGGTCATAATATCAATGTGTTTCCAGCACATTCGTTACAAACCCCTACCCTGACTTCTGTGTGCCTTGGTGCTAGAAATATTGGACAAGAGATGAAATGTATTCCATTTAACATCTCCAGTTCCCAAGTTTAATACACAAGGTCATGAAATCTATGAAGCAAATAATTGGTAACAGCTAAAACAGCTACCTTGTTTTAGCATTTTCAGTGTTGCTCTTCTTTCCGGGAAATGCATTCATACCTGTCGATGGGACCTGTCAGAAGACATGAGGACAACCCGTCCTAGTTTTCCTTCTAGTTATGTCACCAATCTAGGTGCCAGACAGGTTAAAAAATCAGCCATTTTCTCAAAGAGTCCACAAGCCTGAAACTGTCTACCTAGCAGAGAATAGACGCCTCATCTGTCCACAGTTATAATAATAGTTGCTCCTGCAGGCTTTTGACTTGCACTACAGGCCAGCAACGTGTGGACTGTATTCAGACTATCGACAGCCCAGGATTCATTTGCTCTTTCTACACCCATAATCCCGGCATTTTAAAGAACCTGTCATAAATGCCACCTTGCTGCTTTTAATAATCACCTGGTCATACCTGTCCCTGCAAGAGTTATTAAGCAAGCATGCACATACTTCAGCACACAAGAAATGCTGGAACAATCGATCCAAATGACCTGCTCACAAAGGCAGACGATGCCTGTTATTTTCATTATATATTTCCTTTCTAGTGAAGATATTCATTTTTCCACACAATAGATTTACGTAATTGTTTATTTCCTCATGTACTAACCACTCAGTTACTTCCTTTGACCACTTTTGATGTGGGATTTTAGTGTTTAGGATCATTTCTATCAATTATTTATTTAGCACAGTAAACTTATCATGATGTCTGTCATTTACATTTTCTCATTATTTTACTTTCCTTTTGGGTAATATCACTGATTTTTTTTTCCTGACTGAAAAAGCAGTACATGTTCATAAGAGAAAACGTGGAAGGTACAGAAAAGTTTTTAAAAAGAAAGGAAAAATTACCTAAAATTATAGAGAGAAACGCTATTAACTTTTTCTTCTTTCCAAGGTTATTTCTATATAACACACCCATTCACATCAATACTGGCATCTTCTAATATATAGAAATTGTGTATCCTTTGTTTCCTACTTAATATTACCTGATACCCTGTACTGTGTTTAAAAATGACATTGTATTAACTGCATGATATTTCATCATGTAATTTACTGTTAACTTATATATCCATTTCCCTGGTGTTAAATATTTAAATTGCTTACAGAGCTTTCTTGTTTTGTTTTGTGTATGACGTTTTTACCATTATAAATAAAGCCATGGTGAAATCTCATGCATAAATCTTAGTGTCTACCTATGGCCTGGGGAATGCTCCTAAAAGTGAAATTACTATTTCAAAAGATACAGACCTCTTTAGTGCTCTTGGTCTCATTTGCCAAATCATCCAACTAATATTTCCACTGATGGTAAGAATACCCATTACTTTATCTCCTCCATCAATACTGAATATTATCAATTTCTAGTCTTTGCCAGTCTGATAACCAACAACCTGTATCTTTTGTTTGAATTTATAATTTTTGATAATTAATGGGGTTTGATGCTTTCCTTTTAAAGTTTATTTTCTTATATTTCATTGTGTGAATTTTATACTTATGTATTCACACCTTCCCACATAATATAATACCTTTTGATAATATCTTCACCTCTTCCTAGTCAGGATTTTATTTCCCCTGCTAAGAAAATGTGCAGTCATAAAGGTTTGGGGAGACGTGGGTGCTTCCATGTGAAATCTGGGGTACGACTGACCGCGGCTGCGCTCTGTCCCCTCAGCTGCTGGAGAAGGGCCTCCCCAGCGTGCAGCAGCCCCTGCTGCAGGTGATCCACAGTCTGCTCAGCTACATGGACCTTTCCGGCGTCCCTGTCAAACAATTTAATGTGGAAGTGCTGAAGACCATTGAAAAATATGTGCAAGTGAGTATTCGGATAACTTCACTTAGCAACCAGAGAGTCGTTCCAGAAAGACTGAGGCTTTGCCTGTAGCCTGGCCACAACACTGCCTGGGTGCCAGGCGGTGCATTCATCCCTTGACATCCACGACACAGTGAAGGCAGTCAGGAGTGGGCGTTGACCACGCCCTGAGTAGTATGCTGCAGAGAAAGGCAAGGCAAGAGTTTGGTGTATTCCCATGCCTACAGAGGACACATTTCTGCCTACTGGGGCCGCAGGCTGGGTGGACAGGGGCAGGCTGGGTGGACAGGAGCAGGCTCTTATTTTCAGTATCCAATTTCAGAGAAGGAAAAGGGAGAAGGAACTTGCATGTGTGCCAGGGTCTAGGCTTGGTGTTTCAACATGTGAAGGGTTATGCAGAAGTTAAAATCATCACTTCAGAGTGGAGGGAACTATGGTTAAGAAATTTACGTAAATGCACTTGAATATACTCCCACAAACAAACAAAAACTGTTGTGGGGATAAATAAAGCAAGATGACAAAATGTGAATAGTTGATGAAGAGTGCAAGGAGATTCATTATACTAGTCTCTCTGTTTCTGTGTATATTTTAATATTTCCACAATAAATAATCTTTAATTTAAAAAAAACAAAAAACGAAGAGACTGGCCCCAAGAACTCAGCAAAGGGTGGAGCTGGTATTTGACCCCAGGTCCACCTGGCTCCAAAGCTAGCACTTTTGTTTCATTGTACCGGGCAGCCTTCCCAGCAGGACACTTGGTGAACACCAATAAACGTCTACGGACTGATTCCTTAAAGTCATACTCTGAGACTACCAGAAAAAAAATAAAAAATGAAAATTAAAATAAATATCAAAAAAAGCAAACAGACCAGAACAAGTGTCTAGAGCCTGTAAGTTAGCTTGAAACACAGGACCACAGACTGAAGGAGGGAGGCCCCAGGCGGTGGGAGCAGTGCAGGGCCACCGTGGGCTTCCGTGGAGAGGGCCAACTCAAGAGCTCAGACACCTTTTCCTCCCCATTTTATTTACTCCCCTGTTTCTTCTCTGGAGTGTACTTGGTGACTTGCAGAATTCAAGGGCAAATGCTAGGTTTTCTCTGGTTTAAACTCAATGACAAAGCCATACAGTATAAATTTTAGGCATTCTTTTCCATCTTTACCAATCACATTACTTACAGAAAATTATTTCATTCTAAAAGTGACTTCCAAGCATCATTTTTTTCATTTTTCAAGTGATACCGCTCTAATACTTGTGCCACATATGGTGAACGTTCGATAATGGTTTATCGCTTCCTTCACTCACAGGGGACAGAGGGCCAGTTCACATCTCTCTACTAACGTGTGCCCCATCTCATTGTTTTACTGGGCTGTCGTTCTCTCTTAGGCCTGTGGGCCATCTCTGGGACTCAATATCTTGCCTTGAATAGTGGCTCATCTCACATTCAAACCATGGCCTCCCTTGTGCAGAATTTAATAGGGAAGACAATGTATTTTCTTTCGTGTGCCTGGACTGCAAAGCCTAGGCAAAAAAAATAATAATAACTATTATCAAGTTGGTAAATCTATGTTTCCAATTTTTATGGGAAAAGCACCTCAGTCTCACTGGGGTTGGCAGAGAAACAAAGATGTGCCCATAAGGAGAGGAAAGGCATTCTAGGATGGAGGAGCATGAGTGAGGGCACAGAGGCTAAGACACTTTACCTGGTTCGAGGGACTGCAGCAGTAGCCCGGGGCAGGCGACTCCTGCAGGCCATGCTCAAAGAGTGTGCGCTCTACCCTGTCCACCAGAGGGAACCCTTGAGAGAATTCGGGGAGGTGGCTTGGTCTGAAGAGTTCTAGAAAGATCACTCAAGCTGGACCTGCTGGACTTAAGCAGAGCCTGCAATCAGGGAGCCTAGTTAAGGCACCATTGAAACAGTCCAAGCAAGGTGGGAGAGGATTCGGCAGAGCTGGTACCAGCAGCCATGGAGAGGAGGGAGCAAATTACCAAGAGGGAGGGAAAGAGAAGAGTTAAGAACTTCCAGATTCCTGGGC